TATGTATGTTTTGGTGGCATGATAATTCTGTGCACTGCATGTGTGCTAGTGCCCGCTAAGGCCAGATATGAGTATTGGATCCCCTGGAACTGGAATTGCAGCACATGGATACTGTTGAACCAACCCCTCCCCAGCCCCATGTAGTCCTAGGACTTGCTGACCAGCCAGTCTAGCCAGATTGGTGAGCTCTAGGTTCAGTGAGAATAAGGCAGCACTCTACTGAACAAGACACCTGACACTGAACTCTGACCCCCCACATGCATATGTGTGTCCCTGTGCACAAAAGCACACACATGAACACAAACTCTCTTAGTCACCTTCCTATCCCTGTGAAGAAACACCGTGACCAAAGCAACTTAGAGGAGACACAGTTTGTTGGAGTCTTGCTTACAGTTTCACAGGGTGAGACCATGGCCATCATGGCAGCAAGCATGGCAACAGTCAGGCAGACTCGGGGCTGGAGCAGTAGCTGAGATATTGCATCCTTATCCCAAGCATGAGGCAGAAGGAGAGAGCTAACTGGGAATAGCACGGGCCTTTGAAACCTCAAAGTCGGCCCCCATGACATGTCTCCTCCAAGAAGGTCCCGCCCCCTAATCCTTCCCAAACAGCTTCACCAACAGGGGCCCAGGCATTCAAATATATGAGCATGTGGGGGTCGTTCTCACTCAAACCATCACACGTACATACACACATACATACATGCATGCATGCATACATACATACATACACACATACACACATACATACACACACATACATACATACATACATACACACATACATACATACATACACACACACTAAAATAAAAGACCTGCGACCTCTTGGGTCCCACTCTAGAACTAACCCACCAGACCCCTGCTCTTAGCAGGTGTGACGGTTAATCTTCAGTGGCACCTTGGTGGGACTTAGACTCACCTAGAAGAAAACCCTCTGGATGTGTCTGTGAGGGCATTTCCAGAGAAGTTTAACAGAGGTTGGAAGATCTACCCCGAGTATGGACAGCACCATTCCATAGTTTTGGGTTCTCCACTGAATGAAAAGAGGGAATTGGGCGCTGGAGAGACAGTTCAGCAGCTAAGAACACTGTTCTTCCAGAGGTCTCAATTTCCAGCACCCACTGTCTCAGAGGATGTGATGACCTCTTCTCGCCTCCATGAGAAATGCAGGTATATGGTGCAGACATACATGCAGGACACACACACACACACATACACACACACACACACACACACACACACACACCAAAAGTTTCTGTGGGGAAAGAGAACCCATGCTTACTGCTAGGGAGCACAGAATCTGGTGCAGCCTCTATGGAAATTCATATGGAAATTCATATGGAGGGTCTCTATGGAAATTCATATGGAGGGTCTCTGGAAATTCATATGGAGGGTCTCTATGGAAATTCATATGGAGGGTCTCTATGGAAATTCATATGGAGGGTCTTTAAAAGAAACACCTAGAAACAGAGCTATCAGATGACCCCGTTCTACCACTCTTCCGAATATACCTCAGGTACTGGGACCCTGAGCTGGGAAGTTTGTTACTCTTGGAGAGGACCCAAGTTCAGATCCCAGCACCCACGTGGTGTCTCACAACTTTTTAAACTCCAGTTCCAAGGGTTTCAATTTTCTCTTCCGGCCTCTGTGGGCATCAGGCATGCACGTAGTACACAGGCATACATGCAGACAAAACATTTATATACATAAAATAAAAATTTTTTTTGGTTTTTCAAGGCAGGGTTTCTCTGTGGCTTTGGAGGCTGTCCTGGAACTCGCTCTGTAGACAAGGCTGGTCTTGAACTCACAGAGATCCTCCTGTGTGCCACCACAGCCCGGCTAAAATAAAAACTTTAAGTCAAAAAGTGCCAGGTGTTGTTGGCACATACGTTTGTTTAATCCCAGCACTCGGGAGGCAGAGGCAGGAGGATCTCTGTGAGTTTGAGACCAGCCTGGTCTACAGAGGGGGTTCCAGGACAGTCTCCAAAGCTACAGAAAAACCCTGTCTCAAAAAAACAAAACAAAATCAAAAAGTACTGGAATTCTGATAGATTATCTTTCCATAGGGGCTATGCTGTTGGTGCTCCTGGCTCAGGAGTCATGACTTTCAGTAGCGGGTTCCAGAGGAGGTCAGTCTAGTGGCAACCAGCCTCATGTGGCCTCTGAGCTGTGGCTGCTCACCACTGAGGTACGCTGTAACACAGGCTGCACTGGAGTGAGCACGGTGGGGTTTGCTCCTAGGAAAGAGGAAGTGCGGAGACCGCAGCGTCACTCCTCGCCAGGCCTCCACCGCTTCCTCTCCCATCTTCCTTCAAGCAAACTCCGGAAGCAGACGCTGCAACCCCGCTCTTCCACCGGCCTAACCCACCTCACAGGCAGCCGCCACCCTGCTCCTCCCGGCATACTTGAGGCTAGCACTCCATCCTGCCCAGACCTAAGCGGGGCCCTGCTGCTGTCTGAGACCCACAGCCGCAGTCATCTCTGCTGAGTCCCAGGGGTCTCCTCTGACCCTGCCGTCCTCCATCCTACAAGTGCCTCTCATTTGCGTTATCCACTTAGATCTGTCCCTCGCTGCCTATGCCATCGTAGGGTTGGCCCTGCCCCCTCACCACCTTTGAGAGCCCTGTCTCCAGGGTATGTGAGCTGTGTGGGTTACACTGCCCTTGGTCCAGCCAGCATACCTGCTGCTACCATCTGGTTCCTATGCGGTTCCGACTTCACTGCATGTGCACCTTGATTCTTTCACTGGGGTCTAATTTCCTTTAGAACAGAGCATGACTAGCCTTCTATAATCTGCCTTGGCCTGGTCCTACACAACAAGCAGTTCCTCAAAAAAAAAAAAAATCAAGTTTCTGAGAGCTGGGCATGGTGGCGCATGCCTTTAATCCCAGCACTCGGGAGGCAGAGGCAGGCGGATCTCTGTGAATTCCAAGCCAGCTTGGTCTACAGAGCAATCTCCAGGACAGCCAGGGACACACACAGCCTGTTACACTAGAAGCCCTGTCTTGAAAAACCATAAAAAAAGAAAGAACTAAAGAGTTGGGTGAGGTGACACACATTTAAGCACTTGTGACACAGAAGCAGGCAGATCTCTGTGAGTTTGAAGTCAGTCTGCTCTACATAGCAAGTTCATGACAGCCAGGGCTGCACAGAGCGAACTACATAGTTCAGTATCTTCCAAAATACTGTTTCCTAATCACTAAAAAAAAAAAGCAAAAAAAAGTTAATTTTTTAAACTTTTTTTTTTGACAGAATCTCGTCATGTTTCCTAAACTGTGGGGCTCAAGGATCCTTCCTGCCTTAGACTCGCTGAGACTATAGGCACAGCACCTCAACCAGCTCTAAAGCTTCCTACCTTGATAGTCACAGACCTTCAGGAAGTTGGAAAGGTAATCATTGGAGTCCTTACACGCTTCAAAAGGTCTTCCCAGTGCACCATGGGATATAACCCAGTGCACCATGGGATATAACAGTAGGACATTCTGAAGACCTCAAGTGTAACATCAGTATTGTGTGTGTAGCCCTAGCCATCCAATCACATACATGGATATGTGTAACACCACAGTCAAGGTCTAGACAGTGATCTGAGAATACAGAAAGTCTGCTTAACATGGACCATGGGAGCTGGGCATTGGTGGCCCACGCCTTTAATCCCAGCATTCGGGAGGCAAAGGCAGAGGCAGGCGGATCTCTGTGAGTTCCAGGCCAGCCTGGTCTACAGATCGAGTTCCAGAACATCCTCCAAAACAATACAGAGAAACTCTGTCTCGAGAAAAAAAAACATGGAGCACATGGACCATGGGTCCAGTCCTTAGCATTGCATACAGCCAGCAGGGCCAGACACAACCTAGGAAAGCCTCAGGCTGGTAGGAGGAAGCAGGTTTCTGGAGCCGATGGACACCACTTGGTCCCCTCAGAAGCCTGAGCCGATGAGCCTGGGGCTCAGCCGTCTGGAAGCCCCAGGAGACACCGGGGACACCAGGACACCACATCACAGGGCAGCTTCTCTTACATGAGAGGTCATAGCCTAGCTGTCTACTTCCAAACACCACAAGTATGCTTTCTCAAATGGAATTTTATTATAAACTTCATATATAGAAGTATAAAATGGCAAACATGAACCTTTATTCCATCCATCTCACTGAAGTTCTCTTAAAACCTATAAAACTGGCTCTTTCTCCACACTGCTTTAAGAAAAAAATGCCTAATGGCAAGCACAAAAGCGCTTCATGAGGTCGTTCATGCAAAGGGGTCTCCATCCCAGCCCCAGTCACTGAGTGGAGGCCCACTCTCTGTTGGATTCCGGACCCTGAGGTGTTCCCTGAGCACAGAGACCCCAGACAGTGACAATGTTTTCGTGACAGAGAACTCTGTGGAGGAATATGGAAACCATCTCTCTGAGGAAGAAACAGCTGAGCCTGCCGAGTTGTGGTAGCATGTGACTTCTCCTTTCTTATCTTCATTTTGCTGAAGGCACACATGCTCTCACATCTGGCGCCTTCCTAGACTTTGCTTTCAGAGAATAGAGAAGAAATTAACAGCCGGGCGTTGGTGGCGCACGCCTTTAATCCCAGCACTCGGGAGGCAGAGGCAGGCGGATCTCTGTGAGTTCGAGGCCAGCCTGGTCTACAAGAGCTAGTTCCAGGACAGCCTCCAAAGCCACAGAGAAACCCTGTCTCGGAAAAACAAACAAACAAACAAACAAAAAAGAAATTAACAGTGCCCCCATCTTTTCCTTCTTTTGTGGGGTGATAGGCTCTCATGTAGTCCAGGCTGGCCTTAAACTTGGTGTGTAGCCAAGGAAAGCCTTCAACTCCTGAGCCTCTTGCCTCTACCTCACAAACACTGGAATTATAGGCATGTGCCACTACCTGTAGCAAGGTCACCCCATTTTTGTTCAGGGAGATAGATGGCCAGGCCCCCTTGATAGTAGAACTCTTCCACTCAGCCATTCTTGGGAGTTGTCCCAAAGTAAACAAATGTATGCAGACGCCTGCATGTGTGTGAGAGAGCATGTGTGCATTTACATATATCTACATGAATAAGACTATATGGGGCCACATGCCTCCAAGCCCTGGGGAAAGGATTTGCTACTTGTTAACAAAGCAGGGAGTCAAGGTGCAGAAAATTGCTAGAAAATCCCTGTGCTGGTGAGCCAGGGAGGAAGGTTCCCTGAGGACACCATCCTGGTGGCCGTACTGAGGCCGCCATAAATGACCGCATGTCAGAGAACAGGATCTCACTTCAAGCAAGGCAGAACTGAGATGTGTGCACAGGCACGGCTACCAGTCACCAGTGACCACTGAACGTGGGGCTGAGGCTAAGAGGGTCCAAGATGCAGATAGGACAGTTTCAGAGAATCCAGACAGAAGTCAGCTCACCTCCCCATCGCCCCGTGAAAGGAGGGACAGGAACACGAGGCCGACGGGAAAGCAGTTGTCCCGGCAAGGATGCGATCCCATGATCAGCTCTCCTTCAGCCAGAGCGATGTCTCCCCGTGTTCCTGCCCGATCTCCAGACCCTGTTTCTCAGGTTGCAAAGCTGAGGCCAAAGATAGCTCAGATGCAGCCCAGCCGGTCCTTTTCTTAGACTCAACCAACCCTGGCGATTACTGCGCTGGCTGACAACCCAGCAGGTAATAACATCATTTGCAGTCACTCATTCCCTTCAGGACCCCAAGGACGGTGTCCAGACGGGGTTTGGCTGCTGTGGAAGCATCTGCAGAGGTGGAACCTCCAGGGGTGGGTGGACCACAAATTTCCTCCTACGATGCCAGAGGAGACAAGCAGAAGAATACAGACGGACGGACGGACTGACAGACCTAGGCCTGCCAGGGCCATCTTCAGGGCAGAGACAAAGCCTTGGCAAGGCGGGTCCAGAACCAGGACTTGGTGCAAGGGTTGGTATAGTCACAGATGGTGATGAACCGCAGGATGCTGGGGAAATCCTTCTTCATTGCCTTGTATTTGATGGGAATCAGTCGCTTCTGTTGGATGCCTGGAGGCCAAAGGGTGAGGTGTTGGGACCAGGCCCCTGCCCTAGGGTGGGCAGTCTCCAAAGCAAGGGATAACACCAGCGCTCCACCAGCTAGGCAGCCATGGTACATATCCACCATATGAAGAAGTTCGCAGGGACAGCCCCCTCAGAGATCTGGCATGTGGGACCACTCAGAGATCGGTCCTGCACTCTTGGTCTGGGATCCTAAGGCTATTCTATTCCTCCCTTCCCCTCTCTGAGCAAAGCAGGTCTAAGCTTACCTGGAGAGAGGCTGAGAGCAAACTTGGTCTGGAAGTCACATTCCTTGCTCTGTAGGTAATCGTCAGAAACAACCACCACCATCCGGCGACACCTGAGGGAGAGTGGCAGCATGCAGGCATTGTGACGACTTCCTTCAGCTTACCTTTAGAGGACAGCCTTAGAGAGGACCACAGTACCCAGGCTACCCAGTACAGAGCCCAGCTGGCAGAGGAGTCATCGCATCTGGACCTCTGGGTTTTATGTACTCACTCACCCACCTGCCCCTCCACCCCCAGGATGCCTAACCAACCTCTTCTCAATGAGTTCACTGGCAATGGACCAGACACAGGTGCCTGGCAGGACATCACGGTCGGACACACACAGCTTTAGCCGATAGTCTGTCTGTTCTAGCTGTCTGATCATCTCCTGCACAAACTCGATATCACTGGGGCAGTAGCAGATGAAGGCATCGAAAAGCTCTGGTGTCTGTCCTGAGGACAGGGGACAAGGGTAGCGGTCAGCCGTCTGCAGGAAGGCTGGAAGGGATCCAGCCTGGAGCCATCCATCAAATGAACTGGAGCTTGCACCCATCCCAAAGTGATGTCTTCCATATGCCCTTCCCACCAGTGAAAAGGTAACTCCCTACCAGATGAAACCATCTGCGTTAACTATGATGGAGACTTCCCATTCCAGTCTCAGAAGCAATCGGAGACAGGGCTGCTGTTATCACCATTTCTTGGATAGGGAAACCAAGACTCAGGAAAAATGGGTGACTTGCCCAAGGTCCCAGGTCCATCCGTCTGTGTTGCAATACCCATGTTCTGCACACCACACATCCTGGGGCTGTGGCCCACCTATCCTGCCCAGGGGAACAACACTGGGTCCTTACCCAGGGGGTCATCAAGGGTGGTGATGCCCTCCAGCTCCTTTGTTTGTGGGACACTGCTTTCTACTCTGGCCACCTGTAAGGGTTTCTCAGACTCCTGCTTCTGCTGATTCCTTAGGTATTTCTCGCAGTCTTCCACTGTGGAGAAGAGACAGGGTGTAGACGGCTTCCCAGCTGCCCCACACTGCTGAGCACACTCAGCATCTACACCCTGCCTTTGTTCCATTACCCAGAAGTCCTCTCTAGCAGTCACTGGCACCATGGGCAGCTCTGACAAGCCGGCACTCCCTTTCTGACTCTCCCAAAGGGAGCATCTAGGAGGCCATGAAAGTCCTGTCTGCCTCTCACTCTGCATCCTGTATCCCCTTTCTAAGGCTCTAGAGGATGACTCCAAGTTGGGCATCTTGCAGGGTGCAGAGCAGAGGGAATGCCAGAAGGGCTCGGGCACCCCGTTAGTGCTCAGTGAGGGTGGCGGCCCCCCTTCCCCAGCAAGGTGTACCGAACTGCAGGCAGGGGCGCTGTGTTGAGTGCCAATGAGTGACGGAGGGGGCTCTAGTCCCTCACCTGCCCTGTGGCTCCTGACACAACTGGGGTACTCCCAGAGAAGCAGATTCCTTGACGCCTGGCCCAACTCAAGGTCTTTACCTAAGATACTCAATCCACATCCTTTCCCTATCTCAGGGTTTCTGAGCCCTCTCGCACTCCCTAGGCGGTCCTGCATACTGACAGGAAATTCGACCGTCCTCTCCTCCCTCCCCGGCACACCTCAGAAAAAATGAAACAAGATTGATACGCCAAGGCCAGCTTCCTCGACCACTGGCACAAAGCCAGAGAGCACGCGTTCTCACCGATGCTGGGCCCCAGCTCCTGGAGGATATCCTCACGGCCCAGCGCGGCCAGCATCTCTAACAGCCCGCCGACCGTCGCGCCCGAGCGCCCCTGCCAGGCATCCAACAAACTGCCCGTGGGGTCAGGGCGCGTCTCCAGCTGTCGGATCTCCAAGTACTCGAAGCCCATTTCCTCCGCCAGCACAGTCCAGTCGGCCGCCACCGGCGTCCGTACGTTCAAGAACAGGGAGAGACGGCGCCGCACTCGCACGTTGAGCGCGGCCAAGGGTAGGGAGGACTTGGAGGAGTCCAGGGACACGGATCCCACGCAGGGGCCTCCCGCAGACATGGCGAGCCACCCTGAGCCTCAGTGAGGTCCGGTCCGCTCGCCCGCCCGCCGCCGAACTTCCTTCCTACTTCCCCTAGGGTTCCTTTCAGCCCCGCCTTCTCGCGTTTTCCGAGAAGCTCCGCCCTTTGCTAGAATCTGGAGTCCCCAGCACTGGAGCGCAGTTGGGGTGCCCGGCCACTGCCCTCGGACTGTGTTTGCGTGTGGCACCTGAACACAGGGCCTGAACTCCACCCCTGCTCGTGTCTCCAGCCTTTGCTCCTCTCCCCCTTGAAGGTGTGTGAACCTAGAAAAGGTTTCCTGGCATCTGCTGGGCCCACGGACCAGTCCTGGGCGGTCTGGTAGTGGTGGCAAAGCGTGGTGGGGTCAAGCAGCCTTGCATAGGACGTGAAGGAGTTACAGCCCTGACGTGCAGTAAGCTGTGCTCTGGAGACGGGGAGAGAAGAGACAGACCGCGGCTTCGGAAGTGGTGACTGTCGTCTGAGGGAGAAGGCCACAACCCTATCCGCAAGTTGGCATTTAGGGCATCCTGTCCTTTGGTATCTGAGGCAAACCCAGCTCTACCCTCCGGGGGTCTGCAAAACCTACGCGGGCCTACCGCCGTTAATGTACTTAGTCTATTTAGGCGTCAATCTCCGACGCAGGGTCTCCACCCCGCCCCGCCTTTGTAGAAATCCTGCGGGAATGAGGACACTAATAACATCATCCCCAACAGACGTGAAACGGGCTTAAGACGCGGGGGACACGCTGCAGTTAGAACCTGGCTGCCATTCAGCACATTTGTAAAATCGGTTCTCCATACCAGCCGGGAAACAAATATTGCCTTGTTTTCTTTATTTTATTCTAATTTTCAATTTAAATTAGAAACATGCTTGCTTCACATACTGCTTTGTTTTCTGAGGGGGCTTCTGTGACAGTCCAACCCCGTTGGGCCGAACTAGGCGCCGCAACATTATCTCCGTCCTCGGTGCTGGGTTCTGGGACCCAGGACTGAGCTGAGCGGAGTGTTTTTCCTAGCTCGCCCAGCCAAGGGAGAAGCCTTGCGTCGGGCTCCGCCTTCCCTTCTTTCTGCTGCTGCGCGCTGAGCCCAGGGCTTTGGAGGAGGGGCTTTCTCGAGGCAGAGTTCATCTTAGGAAACCAAAAGTTTGGGGTGCCTCCTTCCCGTGTGTCCGCAAACAGTTGCGCAAACTTAAGTTTCCAGTCTGCGTTTCTGGGCGAGACTTATGGGCGCACATTCTGATTGGCCTCGGTGGGATTGGCGGGCGGGGCTTTCAGTGGAAAGAACGTCTCCAGAGAGCCTTGGGCGGGGCTCTGGGCCGAAGGGGGCGTGCCCTCAAGCAGACGCCCCTTAATCTAATTGGTTGTGTCTGGTGGTGGGTGGGCCCCACAGAAACCCCACCCCGCCACTCTCCGTGTTTTACCCCGCTTGTGGTCCTCTTCTAGGCCTCACGCCCTGCGCCTGCGCCGGCGATCGTTTTTATTCATCGAGCTCCGCGCTCAGCGCCCAGGCAAATCCTCGGGACCCACCTCCGCGATGCATCGGCTGCAGGTAGTGCTGGGCCACCTGGCCGGCCGGCCCGAGTCGAGCTCCGCGCTGCAAGCCGCGCCCTGCTCCGCGGGCTTCCGGCAGGCCTGGGCCTCCGACGTGGTGGTGGTGCACGGACGGCGCACCCCCATCGGCCGTGCGGGCCGCGGCGGCTTCAAGGTGAGGCGCCTCCGGCGGGCGAGGGGCGCCCAAGGCGGCCAGTGCGGGTGGGATCCCGCCCTCTGGGGTGGGGCGACCGCAGAGTCCCCGGGTGGGGATGCGGGAGCGGGGCTCACAGCCGCTGCGCTCCGCCCTGCAGGACACCACCCCGGACGAGCTTCTGTCGGCCGTGTTGACCGCGGTTCTCCAGGACGTGAAGCTCAAGCCCGAGGAGCTGGGTGACATCTCCGTGGGTGAGCCCGGGCATGCGCTGGGCCCTCTCCCCCCTCCCTCGTTGGGCCTCCCCATCTCTCCGCGAACCTGGGTTTCACTGAGCAAGACTTGAAGGACTTCAGGTCTTTAGCCAGCTGACTGGGGGTGGAAAGCAGGGACGACCTGTAGTAGAGACTTTAAAACATTGGTTCTCAATGTGTGGGTCGCGACCCCTCCTAGGACATCGGAAAACACCGTTATTTACTTTGTGTTTCATAACAGTAGCAAACTTTCAGTTATGAAGTAGCAACAAAATAACTTTATGGTTGGGGTGTATTAAAGAGTCAGTCTTAGGAAGGTTGAGAACCACTGCTCTAAAGCCCTGGTGTTCCTGGAGACTCCGGGAGGTGGGAGGCCCGGTACTCCGCCTACACTGACATCTTGTCTGTCAGAACCATCTAGTCCAGTCCAGTTCGGCTACAGGTGTAGATTGCGTTCACCCAGGCTGCCCTAACCCCCGATCTTCCTGAACTAGAACAACATAGTGTGGGACAGGGCGCTATCCGGGGGTGCCAGCCTGTCCCCCATCCCGCAGTGGCACGGGGCGTGGAGGAGGACACTTGGGGAGGCGAGCTGTTGCAGACTTGCTTCCCTCACCCATAGCCCGGTTCCCCTCAGCGTTCAGGCTCTGCACCGAGTGCCTCTTACCCTAGATGCTCTCCTGTTGCCCGGCAAGCAGGCACCTGCCCAGCTGTGCTGATTTGGAGTGTATGCCTTGGCAAGCGTGCTGGTGTCCCTCTAGCCCTGGGCTGGTGGAGGACAGGGGGTTGGTAGCCGGCTCCCCATTCCTCAGACTCTGAACTTACACAGTTTCAAATGAGCCCGGGGAAATCCTGAGGTGATCTGAAGAAATATCTGGAACATCTCCTATTTGGAACTCACAACTGAACACTATTATGCAAAACGGTATTGAGTAAGATTTCTATCTACAGGCAATGTACTTCAGCCAGGAGCTGGGGCCATCATGGCACGCATCGCCCAATTTCTGAGGTAATCCTTCTAACCCTGCTGGGGTTCTACCACCATTGACTAGTCTGTGGGTGACGGGTTAGCAGGTTGGACTTGACACATCAAATCAACCAGAATCCTTGGGCGCAACTTTTCTCCTACTTTGAAGGGAGTGTTACCTGGCCCAGAGCCAGGACACCTAGGGCTCTGGAACCAGAGCAAAGTTGGCTTGATTTTTCCCAAAGTCAACTTGTTGCTTACCCTTTGGACGTGTGGACTCCGTCCTCAAATTTCAGGCAAATAATCACATAACCACGTTGGCCCATGACTTTGATTCCATTCCTGCCTGAGCTGCCTGAGAACTCCGGGCTCAGCTTGAGGGTGGGGGGTGCGGAGGGGCAAGCCGGGAGGAGCCCTGGCCATCTTTCCATTGGGGGAAGCGGTAGCTCAATTACTTCCACGTGTAGACTGAAGACCTACCTCCCTCAGGTAGATGAGGCATAGCGGCAGCACTGGCCAGTGTCAGAACAGGGCAAAGGACAGACCGTGCAGGGACCAGGAGGGGGTCAGACTTAGTCTGGCATGGAGCACCTCTCCACACCTCTTGTAACTTTCCGTTCTCACCCCTATCTGCTTCCTCTCCTTGTCTCTCCCTCCTTCATCCATCCTGTCCGTCTTGTATGTGCGCCTCTCTGCCCGTTGTGTCCCCGTATAAAGCTCTCTCCCTCCTCGCCCTGCTCCAGCCAACACCACTGCCCAAGTCTTTGGAGACTGTCTCTCAGGTGTCAGAGAGTGGCCTTCTTGTGCAGTGGGCTGCTGTGTGCCTTCCTGTGCTGTGGCTTTGCCGTTTGACCCTGTTACTCCCATGTCTGGCAGCGTCCTGGTTGGGCACCCTCTGGGGCACAGTACTGTCGGTCTCTTAGCCTCCTTAACGCAGTACCTTGTGCTCAGTGCTTATTTGACGGAAACGTGGTGCCTTGGGGGAAGGGGCTTGGTGAGTGGGCAGCTTGGAACTAAGGGCGTATCGAGCCTGAAAAGGTGTTACCAAGAGCCTGGCCTGAGAGTTTCCTAGCCTGACACTGCAGCAGAATTAGCAGGGTTCTCAGGGAACTTCCTGGGCTAAGGAGACACTAGAAATGAGGTTTTTGTACTATTGGCTAAGATGAGGTATTTACCCAGAGGGACAGCTGAGGTAGCTCCCAGAACTGAGTCCAAACAGTGTCAAAGTCCAAGGAGTACCTAAGAACATGTTAGAAGCAGTCTTCATCCAGGCAAGAGCAGATTCTCAGACACCACGAACAGGTACACAGATGCATGAGCGCTAGTGAGGCCAGGCGGTGGAGACGGCTGGAGGCCTCCTCTGTGAGATAGCTCTTAGGCCGGTGGGTAGACTCTGTGGGCAAAAGAGATGTCTACTCTTCTTTGTCAAGTCATCAGAAGATGAGGAGGAATGCTTGTGGCCCAAACAGACTTCCCCTGCCTGACTTTAGAGTCATCAGGTAGCAGGGCATGTGTTTGAGGACCCTGTGTGCAAGTGTCCATAGTGACAGGGTTTGCCCAGTAGCTGACCCCTCCTCATTTTACATTATAACTACCGAGGTGAGGACAAGGCCAGCTGTTACCCTCTGGTCTATACACACTACTGTGGAGCTTTCTATAAGGCTGTGGCATGCGTATTCAGGGCTGACTGCCATTTCCCCTTCTGTTTCAGTGGCATTCCGGAGACTGTCCCTTTGTCTACCATCAACAGACAGTGTTCGTCAGGGCTGCAGGCAGTGGCCAACATCGCTGGTGAGTTGGGACTGCTGGGTGCCCGTGAGCATGCCCTGACCTTGGCTCCTTTTCTGTGTTTGTTTTGTTTTGTTTGAAACGGTTTCTCTGTGTGGCTCCGGCTGTCCCGGAACTCGCTTTGTAGACCACACTGTTCTGGAACTCAGAGATCCGCCTGCCTCTGCCTGAGTGCTGGGATTAAAGACGTGGGCCACCACCGCTGGCTCTGACCTTGGCTCTTGACCCTAGGGATCCTAGGCAGAGAGGAGTGGAGGAGCACCTCTGTCACACCCCAAGCTCTTTCGGGTGCTCCTGGGTCTTCTGTGGATGTACCCACGAGCAGGGAGGGAACGGGCTGTGCAGCCCCAGGGCAGGCCCACTCTGGCCAAGGATGGTTATGAGGTGCTTTTGTTGCAGGTGGCATCAGAAATGGGTCTTATGACATTGGCATGGCCTGTGGGTAAGATTGTCTTCCTGCCGGACCCTATTAACCAAAGTAATAATCAAACTAATTTTCCTCTCCTCAGTTCTGAGGGGCCGTGATTCTCCCCACCCACCATGGCAGCTGGTTGGGCTGTGCTCCCAGAAATGTGTCCAGGAGTGGCCCACGCTCTGGGCCACTCAGGGACGGTCTAGTCTCAGCACCAGCAGAGGAGAGAGTTGGTCTCTAAGGTAGCCTGGGAATCTGAGAGAGTAGAAGCTGTGGCCAAGCATGCAGAGAAAGTACTACACTCGAGAATGCCCTCAGTGCCGCTTGTGTGTTCTCTATTTGTGTGAGAGAAGAGTGTATCAGTTTTGGTCCCCTAAACCCAGGGAGGCACGGAGCAAAGCATGGTGGCTCTTGCCTGTCCATCCCAGCCAGTGGGAAGACGGAGAGAAGACGATCTGAGGTTAGAAGCCAGCTTGCCTGAAGCTAGGGACAGCTTTTATAATTTGTGTAACTATCTTACTAGTCTATCCATTCCCTTGTCACCAACCTGGCACTTGGGTTGCAACTGGGTTCCGAGGGACAGATTTCTGTTCTCTGTTACCACCTAGACTACAGGTTTACTTCTGCCTGTAGAAATGAACTTGGAAGTGGCTCCAAGGAGGGAAGGGTGCTAGGGCCTAGATTTGGGGTGTCTGAAGCTGGAAAGACACCCAAGGGAGGCCTTGGCAGGGCCGACGGGGGCCAGCGGCCTTCCGTGTCCTCCTCTGTCGGGGAGCGTTGCTGGCCTGTGGTGCTCAGGTCTCGGCTGCCCTTCATTGGGTTGCCCTCACCTGTGTCAGTAGAGTAACAGCCAAAATCCACACACGGACGCCGTGGTGGGCAAGGGTCACAGCCAAGCCTGCCTTTTGCTGATCTCCATGTTTCTCGTAACAAGGACAGCAGATGTGGTGACTTGAGGGGAAGGGCTGGGGCTCCATGAGTTCCTCAGAGGATTCTAGTCCCAATCAGTTTGAGGAATCTAGTGTTGGAGACAAAGCATGGGGGGGGGGTCTAGAGGATGCCCACCTCGCATCCTGACCGCCCCCTAGTCTTTGAGAGAGCAGCTTGCTCAGGGGCTCTTGGCTGAGGGTTATCTCTGGGGCCAGACTGACTAGTTGTGGTCCAGGTTGGACAGCTATGGGCCAGTCCCTCACCAATGAGACCTCAGTGTCCCCATCTTTATAAGGGGGACGCTTATTCAGCTCTGTGAGTGTTGCCAGAGGCTCAGCCAGCACGATGGGGTCTGTGTCGTTTGGTGGCACTGTTTGAAGGTCCCTTGTGCTTGGAAAGGGTCCGGGCTAGTGCCGGAGGAAGAAAAAACACGCAGTCAAGGTCATCAACCAGCATCACAAAGCTTTACCCCCTACACACACACACATCCTTTCTGAGCCCTCATACTCACTCCCTGCCCACCCTCCCTGTCTGCTCCAGTCAGCTCTGCCTTGGATTGACATCAACCTTGTGCTTGTTTGAAAGTAATCTCACCCTTCTCCTTTTGACTTTGAAATTACTGAGAGCTTTGCCTAACTCAGGGCATATGCCTTGTGCTGGGGGTAGGCACCAGGAGGCGCAGGGGGGGGGCTGCCAATTTCCTGCCTCAGTACTGGCTGGCGGTGGCCTTGGCCCTGGGAGTATATCTGGCCAGGCTTGAGGGAGGGAGGGCTCAGCTGCCCTGTAACCTCCACCGCCTCATGGGCCATCTGCCTTTCTCAGGCTTCCTCGACAACTTACCACACTCCCTGACGGCTGTCTGAAATTGCCCAGAATTCAGCTGGCCATCCCTGGGGCTTCCTACTAGTAATAAAATCACTCCTCCTCCTTAGGGTGGAGTCCATGTCCCTGTCTGACAGAGGGAACCCTGGGAACGTTTCTTCTCGTCTGCTGGAGAATGAGAAGGCCAGAGATTGCCTGATTCCTATGGGGTGAGTGTCCACAGGAAGGCACGCGCGCGCGCATGTGTGTGCCCAGTCACTGTTCTGCCTGGCCTTGGCCAGACACCAGGGAATTTTCTCCTCTGTGGCTGGCAGTACTTAGCCTTGTCTTCTTCCTCTAGGTGTCATGTGCTCTGTAGGAACTGGGTATGGGATTGATGTTAACCTTGGCTTCCCTTTTTAAGCCCCGCCCCCCGACACACACACACACACACACACACACACACACACACACACACACTCTTCTCTGATTCCACAAGTTCCCAAATGTAGCTCATCCTGCTTTACCCTGTCTGAGGTGCTATGTCTCAGGGAAGACTGTGGTAGCAGTCCCCAAAGCCTTGGAGGCCTCAAGAGTTGAGAACATGGGAAGCTTGGATTCCTGTACGTGCCCAGGAGGGACCCAGCCTGTGAGATGCAGTGTGTGGGATCTGTTCCATCTCTCCAGTCTTTAGTACTACAGCCATGTCTGTGAGTTCTCCACAATGTGTGCTCAAGGGCAAGGAGCTTGGGGAAGCTGGTCATGTGTGGCCCCCGCGCCACGAGCAAGTCTAAAGTACCGGGCAAAAGCCTGGAGATTTAAATAAAAGACGAGATGTCCATCTGTTTGTACTAGGAGAATGTGTGTGTGTGCCCCTATTGCAGGGAGGGAGCAGCCTTATATACAGACTTACAGCACAGTGGAGAAAACCCAGGTGTAAGAGTCTGTGTTTTCCTCATGCTTGATGTTGATGTCAGTGGGGCAAGGCCGGGGCTGTAAACCAGGACTAGAGAACAGGATGCACCTGCGGTTATCAGCTGACAAGCAATGCACAGAGATCTGTGGGGGATGGGACCTAACAGTCATGGGCAAGGGATTCTGGGGAGGCTGATCATGTGAGGACTCCAGACTGACCGGGCTGTGTCTACATCCTGTGTTTCAAGAATAGCCTGGAAACCATAGGAGAAGCTGAAGCCAAATACTACCCCCAGCATCCTTCCTTCTCTTATGGCTGAGACAACTCATCCAGGGGACAGTTCCTTTTGTAGGCCCCACATTCAGGCTGGGTGACTTTGAAGTGTGAATGTGTGAGCATCTGTTGACATCGATGACTATGATGAGCCAGGAGTCCCTGGAGCATGGACTGAAAGCTCTGTCTCTCATCTGGATGCCCAAAAGTACGGGCACAGACCTACAGTGTGGCCGTGGTCCTCAGGCCCTGAGCAGACCCACAGCCTCCTGCTTTGCTTGTTTGCTTCTAGGATAACCTCGGAGAACGTGGCTGAGCGGTTCGGCATTTCACGGCAGAAGCAGGACGCCTTTGCTCTGGCCTCCCAGCAGAAGTGAGTGCGGCTTGGGCGGGCTATGGATAGGGCCGGAGAGTGGATCGTGGGGCCAACCAAGTAGTTTCAGGTAGAGCTTTGCCAAGGGCCAAAGCGCGTGTCTCTAGCTGGGAGGTTGCAGTGGCCAGCATCACGATGAGATATGCTAGGGCGCTGCCTTCCCAAATTACAGAATAGGTCTGAGTGTGGAGAGGTGACCTCAGGCAAAGCTGAGCTGCCGTCAGAGAAATACAAGGCCTCAGATCTCTGGGCAGGCTAGGCTGACCAGCCTAACTATACGAAGAGAAGACAGCAAAGAAATGCATGGTGTCTGGGCCAGGTGGAGACAAAAAGCAGCTAGAAGTTTGTGGTCCAGCTACTTGAACTCAGCATAACAGAAATGAGACACTGCCTCTAACATGGCGAAAGGAGAAACTGCCTCCCCAGAGTTGACCTCTGACCCGTACATGCATGTTCTACGTGTGTGTATGCACACACACACACACACTGAATTTTAACTTGCTCCTCCCCTTTGAGGGGGAGATTAAACATGACCTAGAGCTGGGGGACAGATGATATAAAGACCCTGGGTGGCCTTAGACATGCTGTCCCTACCAGAAAGGAAGTGAATGTCCTGAGGAATTCCTTCCAATCAGAGCTCCCCAACGCCAAGTGTATTCCCAGACGTCAAACCCTGTACATGTAAGCTAGGGGCAGGCAGGACGGGAGCCCATGCTTGCCTGAGGCTCGCTGTCCATGGTGCTGGCAGGGCAGCGAGAGCCCAGAGCAGGGGCTGTTTCCAAGCTGAGATCGTGCCTGTGACAACCGCCGTCCTGGATGACAAGGGCAACAAGAAAACCGTCACTGTGACCCAGGATGAGGGTGTCCGTCCCAACACCACCATGGAGGGCTTGGCCAAGCTGAAGCCGGCCTTCAAGGATGGAGGCTCTACTACAGCTGGTGGGTGTGAGCCAGGAATAGGGGCTGATGGAGTTGACCTGTTCTACTCTGAGACCTGGAGCTGCCCAGGCCCCGTGGCAAGGTGATGGTGGAGGGCTGGCTCTCCTCAGCTCCGCCTGATGCCTCCCCATCCCGCCCTTCCTCCCCTAGGAAACTCCAGTCAGGTGAGTGATGGAGCGGCTGCCGTCCTGCTGGCCCGGAGGTCCAAGGCTGAGGAGCTGGGCCTTCCCATCCTCGGGGTCCTGAGGTCCTATGCAGTGGTCGGCGTCCCTCCTGACGTCATGGGCATCGGTCCTGCCTATGCCATCCCTGCAGCCTTGCAGAAAGCAGGTGAGGCCGTCCCTGTCATCCTGTACCTGGACCTCTCTTCACCTCGGTCTGGGACTGGGGTTGCAGGGTTTGACCCTTTGGCTGCTCTGGAATGAGTGTGGGTCAGGCTAGCACCCAAGTTCGAGGCCTCCCTAACCTGCCACTGGACCCCACTGGCCTGGCACACGGTAGACCTCTAGAGCCGCGCATGGGGTGGAGCCCAGAGGAAGTCCAGAGTCCTGCCCGTGACTGTCAGCTCTGGTCTGAATCTTGCCTGCAGGGCTGACTGTGAACGACATAGACATCTTTGAGATCAATGAGGCCTTTGCAAGTCAGGTGAGCCTGGGTGTCCGGGTGGGCGCCATCGGGCCAGCGGCTCAGAGCCGATGGAGGCCTCAGCGGCTGCTCTGGCTCCTTCCAGGCCCTCTACTGTGTGGAGAAGCTGGGGATCCCTGCAGAGAAGGTGAACCCCCTGGGGGGTGCAATAGCCCTGGGCCACCCCCTGGGCTGCACCGGGGCGAGGCAGGTGGTCACCCTGCTCAATGAACTGAAGCGTCGTGGGAAACGGTGAGGCTGCTCCCTGTGGAGTGTCGTGGGGTGTGAGCTGGGTGTCAGGCCGCTGGGGCCTGGGCGGGCGAGCACACACAGGCATTGTGGACTAGGGAAGGAGGCTGAGCCCTGCCTCAAAGGCAGCACAACTATGGACGGTGTCTGCCACCCGGGTGTGTCTAGGGCTCAGTTCCCACACGTCTGCTGTGCCCATCTGCCCAGGAGCCCTTATTGCTGCAGCTCGGCCTGCTGGGGGCACGGGTGGGGGTCAGGCTCTGCCCAGCCAACGCAGGGTCTCCTCCCCAGGGCTTATGGAGTGGTGTCCATGTGCATCGGGACGGGCATGGGAGCCGCTGCTGTCTTCGAATACCCTGGCAACTGAAGCCCTGGCTGCAGGCACTGCCCAGAGAGTCCTACAGCGGTGGCAGCCAGACAGGGACTCTACGGAAGCATGGGGCCCAGCACTGGAGGGGTGGATCATGGCACTTTGATTTAGAAAATGCAGTCACTGGTAGCACAAAGGGGTGGGACTGCCCCGTCAAGTACCCCAACTATGCTGAAGTAAGCATGGGACACCCAGGCTGCAAAGCCATTGCGTACCTCTGAGGGACCGTGCCTCCTTTACGGCGGGATGGATGTAGTAAACGTATATTGTCTCATTTTGGTGGCTGTCATTTCCTCCGGGGGTCATTCTCTGTCATCTGCTTAACATTTAAAGAGCCGTGGTCTCCCTAGTGATCTAGCTGTGCGCAGTCTTTGGAGACCCGTCATCGCAGGACCTAAGCTGACGCCATTGCCCTGGAAGAGGCTCCCTCGTTCCAGGAACCATCCAGCCCTCAGCCAGTCTTGGGCATGTTGAATTCTTTAGCTTGGGCTGGGTCTGGATGCCTTAGAGCTCTTAAGGCACCATGTGTGGGAAGGGGGCACGTCATCCCAAGATCCTCTGCCTCACCGCTGCAGCCAGCAGGCCCCCACCACCTGGACTCAGGATAGCCCGCTGCCCCTGGGAATAGGTAGTGCCGATAGGTGAGGTCAGGCAGCTCCAGCGTCAGCCGGCGCCCAGGCCCCTGTGGACCGTCTCCCTCCTGTGGAGCCCTCACGTGAACGTTTCCTAAGGAGATATGAGCAGACAGCTCTTCCTCCAGATAGAGAGCCAGCCACAGGTCACAGTTGACTCCACATCAAGTCCAGCTCAGTGAACCAAAGAGTTTTACCAGGGTTTCCTCACAGCAACATGGGCAGCTTGTGGTTGGTCACAACACTGGAACAAATGTCCTTCTCCCCTCCCTAGAAATGGTTGACTAACCCTTTCATATCCCCTAGCCCAGAGAGGGAGGCCGTCTCATGAGCCCTCTCCCCTGGGCACGGAATGTTAGTGGACCCATCGTGTGTGGCTCTGCACCGTGGCTGCTGAATGTTCAGGAGGCTGCAGTCTGGAAGATGGGTTCCACAGCAGGTGCTCCAGGCTTGGCCCCTGACTCCTCAGTTCCTCCGATCCCAGGCACCCCAACAGTTCCCAAGCCACCTTCATGCATCACCCTGGTTAAGTTCTCCCCTTGGCCCCGGCTGCTGCCCAGGCTATAGCCTGCAGGCTCCTGCTGGTGTGCTGTGCCTCTGTTTCTGGTCTCTGGCATTTCCCCGGATCTGTCCTTCCACACCTTACCAGAGGCCCAAGCCAGGCACTCTGACTCAGCTCCGTGCTGACCTGCGACCTTCCTCCCAATGAAGCTCACCCTGGAGTTCCATAGGCCTGGAGCGGTCTGTTTCTCCCAGCTGTCTTGGGAGCTCCCTGTCCCCATCCATCGGGCCATTTCCCTTTAGTGTGCTAGACCCAGGCTTCATCAGTCTCTTCAAGAGAGAATGGTTGATTTCTACCCACCAGCCTCTCTCTCTCAGGGTGGGTGCTGTCCTCCTCCCTGGGGAGTATCCCAGGAGCAGACCCCTGAGCAAACACCATCTCTCACTCTGCGGAGTGTCCACTCTGGAAGGCTCTGGTAAGCCCGGAGCTCCTGGTAGGACAGTGGCCGGGGATGTCACCCAGGTTGTCCCACCTGGCGCTGCCTCCTGCGTTGCCACCGGTGGCTGCTGCAGGTGCAGGGATTTCCTGCCTGACCCCTCCATGGGGCAGTCTCTGCAGCTGGACTGACCCAGCTGCCCAGCTCGGCAGCGCCCCCACCTGGTGCATTTGGTCCCCACGATCTGTGCTGCGCAGTACCTGGTCAGCGCAGAAGACAGCCTTCCCTGCCCTTCTCACTTAGGGTGACTGGGGCTGAGGACACACTGTTTTTAGGGGCCTGCTAGAACTGAAGGGAGACATCCAGAGCAGTATCTTCTTCCACGGTGCCTCTGGTTGTTGTGGGAAGTTGGGCTACGGAACAGGAGGGGGCAGATCAGAAACTGGAACTCAGGCCAAAGCTGACACGGAGCTGCATTCTCCTCTCAAGGGCTGGGATTACAGAGTTGGGTCTCCACACCAGGCTGAACCACTGATTGCTAAGGGGAAAGAGTTAAGCCTAGCAGAGTGGCGCGTGCCCGTAAACCCAGCACTTGCTGGTAAGGTGGAGGCCTGGGAGCTACGAGCTCGCCGAAGGTTGTTCTCCGGTACCCGTGAGTTTGAGGCAAGGCCAAGCTAAAGTCCTGTCTTTGGAGATGGAGGATGCCGTATGATCAGCACACGCATGAACTCACAGGCTGAGGCAGCATGCACAGGCCCTGCCACATGGGGCCCTAGAGCTAAAAGGAGAATTGAGCATGGGCCCCAGCCTAACCCAGAAGACGTCTTCAGTTGATAGCCACTGCAAATGAAAATTCAGTTTTCTCCAAGGGAGTCTCACTGGGGAAACAAACAACCTTTCTTGTTTTTGTTTTTCATCACAGGGCTTCTCTGTGTAGCCCAGGCTGTCCTGGAACTCTTTCTGTCTGTAGCCCAGGCTGGCCTCAAATTCAGAAATCCACCTGCTTCTGCCTCCCAAGCACTAGAATTAAAGGCACAGGTCACCACCGACAAACCATTAAGTAGGCTGCACGCCCAGCAGTAGATGGCCAACAGGAAATGAACTCAACAGCATCTTTGGAGGTTCCTTGTTTCATAAGGTCATGTCAGAGCTTTAGAAATAAAAATTGTATATGTATGAAAAATTGTAAAACAATACAGAGAAACCCTGTCTCGAACAAAAAAAAAAAGAAAAATTGTATATATGTAAAAAAGACTTTTTAACCCTACAGGCTCTTTTCATGTCTATCGTGGCTCCCCGTTCAGAGTTTTTACAGGGTTCCTGATGTGTGAATGAGTGGGTCTCTGCATCTGTGTCTGTTTCTTATGCCTTCTCTTGGGTTCTTTTCCTTCTGGTTTGTTTGTTTTGTCCTATTTTAGTGTGTTAGTTTTTGTTTTATCTTAATATGTTTTATTATGTTATGTTTTATCATTATTATTTAGCAGCCTATTTGGTTTTGTTTTTTTTTGTTTGTTTGTTTGTTTGTTTTTCAAGACAGGGTTTCTCTGTGGCTTTGGAGGCTGTCCTGGAACTCGCTCTGTAGACCAGGCTGGCCTCGAACTCACAGAGATCCGCCTGCCTCTGCCTTCCGAGTGCTGGGATTAAAGGCGTGTGCCACCACCACCTGGCATCAGCCTATTTGTTTTTTAATGACAGAAAGTGGATAGACCCAGGTGGGAGGGGACGGGAGGGGAGGAGGAATAGAGGGAGGGTACACTATAATCAAGATAATATTATGTGAGAGAGAAAAATCCTATTTTCAGAAAAAGGAAAAGAGAAAAGTGGAGACCCTGTCTCATAGAGAGAGTGACTTAAGCATTGTCACCATGCTGGAGAGATGGCTCACTTGCTGAAAGTGCGCCTGGCCCGTGCAGAGTACCTGAGTCCGCTCCTGTGGGGCAGCTCTCCTCTGCCTGTCGCTCTGACCTCTGTGGACCCCAGGGGCGTCTGCAGTCACGGGCACATGCCCATGCATGGGTGCACATACACATCGTTTTTAAATAATGTGTATGTGCCCAACAGTAAATGTTTCTCTTAAGAGTCCCAGTCAATCAGTCCTAATCTCAACACTTGGGAGGCTGAGGCGGGAAGGGTCACTGTGAGTCTGAGGTCTCTGTAATTCTAGGCCAGCGTAGTCTGAAGTGGGAGACATTACGTCCCTCCAAAAGAGGTGGATAGGATGGGAGAGACGGCTCAGTGGATGATAACATGCTGTTTTATTTTTTTCTGTACGTTTTCCTTTTCTGTATAATTTCAGTCCGTAAATTAAAAAATTATAAACCAGGCCGGGCGTTGGTGGCGCACGCCTTTAATCCCAGCACTCGGTAGGCAGAGGCAGTGGATCTCTGTGAGTTCGAGGCCAGCCTGGTCTACAAGAGCTCGTTCCAGGACAGCCTTCAAAACAATACAGAGAAACCCTGTCTCGAAAAAACAAAACAAAAGTCACCCCTGCCACCAGTTTCCGAATCTCGTTCTTGGATGATTTTCATGGATAACTCAGGGTGTGTCCTCCCAGACTTTTCTCTCATGTGTGTAGACGTAATAGCTTTGAGTGTTCACAGAGTGAAGAAAACTAGGTATGCAGACCCCCAGGGAATAAACACTGTGAAGTCAGAAAGAAGATTAACATTTGATTGTCCTAAAGCGAACTTGCTTTTAAAGAGAGTACAAACACAAACAGCAGGCACATTTCCCCCTCAGCATTCTGTTTACTTAAACGTCAAAGTCCACTGCACGTTTCTCCAGCTGTAAACACTAACTCAGCTTTTTAAAAATCTTAGTGTCAACTGCACAAGTTACTCATTTAACAGAAAGAGGCGCAGCACCACCCTCCACCTTGGGCCAGGACTTATGCAATGCTCGTCCTGATGAGAATGGTTGGTCAAAATATTATCTTCACTCATAACAGCCTCCCACTGAATTAGAGACTGATTTTATTTCTTCTGAGTCACAATACACTGAAGGCAGATTTAATTTCTAATATACCCCAATATGTAGTCTTCTGCATATACATATATTATAAAATTACAGATACATAAATTACTGAATCTGAATTATAATTGAAATATCTAACTCAGTCCCTAATTTCTGGTGGGTGGGATTTGATTTTTGTTTCACAATGCTGGGAGTGAGTCTATGGTTTTGCACCTTCTAGGCAAGTACTCTCTTGCTGAGCTACACTCCCAGCCCTCGTTTTGTTTTTGCTTTGGTTGAGACAGGGTTTTTCTGTGTAGCCCTGGCTGTCCTGGAACTCACTCTATAGACCAGGCTGTCCTAGAACTTAGGGATCCTCCTGCCTCTGCCTCCCAAGTGTTGGGATTAAAGGCATGTGCCACCACTACCTTGCCCAACACTCATTTTAGTTTCCAGACAGAAATCACTAAATTGCTTACGCTGGTCTTGAACTCACTCTGTAGATCAGGCTAGATGTGGGCATCGGGACTTAAACTCAGCTCCTCTGCAAGAGCAGTGTGTGCTCTTAACCATGGAGTCTTTCCAGAGCATCCCTCTTAGAGCCTTTCTCTTAACCTTTGTGCTTAAAGTCTGTATTAAAATAGACTGAGCCGCCGGGCGTTGGTGGCGCACGCCTTTAATCCCAGCACTCGGGAGGCAGAGGCAGGTGGATCTCTGTGAGTTCAAGGCCAGCCTGGTCTACAGAGTGAGTTCCAGGACAGCCTCCAGAACAATACAGAGAAACCCTGTCTCAAAAAACCAAGATGGCTCAGTGGGTTAGGACCCTCAATGGCAAGCCTGAGGCCTCGAGTTTCACCCCAGAATCCACAGGGTAGAAGGAGAGAACCTGTTTCTACACACTGACCTCTGACTGTTAACACACACGCCATCACGAACCCTACATAATAAATGTAAAAACAAAATCTGGGGGAAAGAACTAGGGCGCCCTCGGCTCTCTGAACACATCTGGCTGGGACTCTTGTCTGGCTTTGCCAAGCCTGACTCTGTAGACCACGAATACATTAGCTGATGTCGGGATTGAGACCACGAATACATTAGCTGATGTCGGGATTGAGACCACGAATACATTAGCTGATGTCGGGATTGAGACCACGAATACATTAGCTGATGTCGGGATTGAGACCACGAATGCATTAGCTGATGTCGGGATTGAGACCACGAATACATTAGCTGATGTTGAGACCACGAATACATTAGCTGATGTCGGGATTGAATGAGTCCCATCCACAGTGGGGCATCACAGCCTCTGATTTTTTTTCTCTCAAATGTTGCCATTATTTACTTATTTGTTTGTGGCATGTGTTGGCATGTGGGAGGTCAGGATAACTTGTGAGATGTGTAGGGTCTTCCTACCACATGGATCCTGGGGATGAAACTACATACTCAGTGCCTTTAACTCGGAGCCATGTCACAGACCCAAGAACACTGTTATGAAATCCGGAGGTGAGATGTCACACATTTGGGAAACAAACAGATGTGCTAGGAACGGACAAGGCCTGTCAAAGGCCAGCTCTTCCAACCTCAGGACCCATTTCCTTGAGACTTTGAGTCACTGTGCGGTAGACAACTACTCCATTACCCGAGACACAATTCCAAAGGATTCCCTGGGAGTTTCCACCTGTGTCCCACGCGTCTCCAAAGAAAGCCAACCCTTCTTTTTTTTTTTTTTTGGTTTTTCAAGACAGGGTTTCTCTGTGGCTTTGGAGGCTGTCCTGGAGCTAGCTCTGTGGACCAGGCTGATCTCGAACTCACAGAGATCGCTCGCCTCTGCCTCCCGAGTGCTAGGATTAAAGGCGTGTGCCATGAACGCCCGGCTTAAGCCAAGCCTTCTTAAGGCAGACAGGTGAACCTGGAGCCTTGCAGGGTGGGGACCATCAAGTGTCCCAGGCAGACGCAGTCCCACTAGTGTCCTCCCGCAGGTGGCGCCAGAGTGTAGACCCGCCTCCAGGCCAGAGTCCTGCGGGGCGTGGCGAGGGCAGGCCCTAGCGTCCCTGGGTGTCAGAGCGCAGCGACAGAGTCACCACCGCGGGACACACGAACGGACCGGACACACAGACACACAGACGGACAGCGGGAACCCCCAGGGCCATGACGGAGCGCACGGGCCGCCGCTGCTGCCTGGGCTGCGACTTCAGCACGCAGCAGGTACGTGCGGGCTGGGCTGGGTGCGCGAAGCGCGAGCCAGGCGATGCCCTGCCAGCCAGGCGCTTTCTCCCGGAAACCGCGGGTGCCTCTCCGCGGGACCCCGCGGACATGCATGGGGGCGGGGAGTGACTCGAGGGGTCCACGCGGAGTCAGGGTGGTGTTTGGCAGGGACCCAAGACACCCAGCGAAAACAGCAGAGCCCACAGGCTGTCAGGGGTGTGCGCTCATGCATAACCAGATTCAAATCAAACCGAGAACCTTTACTTTATTATTTTATTTTATATTTTGAGTCAAGGCCTCAGTATGTAGCTCTGGCTGGCCTGGACTCACTGTGTAGACCGGGCTGGCCTTGAACTCACAGAGATCCACCCCGCTTTGTCTCCTGGGTGCTGGGTTTAAAGGAGTGCGCCACCATGGCAGGCATATTGAAATGGCATATTCGGACTTTGCCTGTCCCCTGCCCGTCCCCTGCCCCACCCCCGCCCCGGTGACCTCCCTTGGCTGGCAGGAGCATGCCAGGGTCTGTGATCCCAGGACTGCTGTAAAGGTTGGTGTTTCCAGCAGATAACGGAGTATAATTGAAACCTGGCTTCCAAGTAAGGGGGATAAGCACGATGGTGGTGAAACTCCTCACCTCAGATGGGTGAAGAGAGGCCGAACTTACAGATCACAGGGGAACATCCCTAGGGAGTCTCCCTGCTCTATTAGATCTGCTTCCTCATTTTCCCTGCGCTTGGAATGGCTTCATTAGGATGACAAGTATGGCTTGACCGTGGTCATGGCTCTGGGGACAATCCCTGGAGACACGCCTCCTCACCAGGTGTAGGATCCTGGTCTCCAGTTTGGGGAACAGATTGTTGTAGACAGTGGGAGCTTTTCCATTCTTTAATCTCTCTCTCTCCCTCCCTCCCTCCTTCCTTCCTTCCTTCCTTCCTTCCTTTTTTTAAATCATTGAACATGTGTCCCATGAAACTTCTGTTCCTGTGGTTACAGCGCTGCTAACCCCCTGACTGATGTTAGAAGCCCTTGGGCCTTAAGTAGAGGCTCAGAAAACCCTAGACACCATTTTCATAAATGTCTTCCAGGTTAAAATTGTTGCTGTTGACGAAGAGTTGAATGTCTTCTATGAGGACAGTGTGCATTTTGACAGAGACCTTCCTGAATTTGGGTATGTACCTGGTGTGCGTGCGTGCGTGGGTGGGTGGGTGGTTTGAGACCCTTCCTAAACTATTTACCTCTATCAGCTATACTGTCCTGACTTAACCCAGATGCTGGAGAGGCGGTCTGCATAGAACTTGAGCACCTTTATTGTTATCATGATTATTATGTATATGGGTGTTTACTCACACGTATGTCTATGTACCACATTCTTGTCTGGGTCCCACAGAGGCCAGAAGACAACATCAGATCTTCTGTAACTGGAGTCACAGATGGTTGTGACCTACCCTAGGGTGGTGGGAATCCAACCCAGGTCCCAACCCCTGAGCTATCTCGATCGTCCCTGAGAATCTTTTCTTCCCATACAGGGGATGATTTCTCCCCTGTTCTTTCCCAATTCAAGTCATTCATTCACTCCTACATTTGAGATCTGCTTTTACCAGGCACTGTGCTGGTTGCTAAAATTTGATAGGTGTACGTGGCTAACTTCTGTTGCTAATGAAAGAGTACCACAGACTGTTGAAGTTATAAAGAATATTGTTCACAAAGCCGGGCGGTGGTGGCGCACGCCTTTAATCCCAGCACTCGGGAGGCAGAGGCAGGAGGATCTCTGTGAGTTCTAGGCCAGCCTGGTCTTAGGAGCGAGTTCCAGGACAGCCAGGGCTCCACAGAGAAACCCTATTTCAAAAAGAGCAAAATTAAGAAACAAAACAAAAAAAGTTCACATCAGCTCCTGCTTCTGGCCAGAGTCCAGTGGTCACATCTGCTGCCGGCCTTCTCCCTGGAGCGGTTCTGGCACACGCACGAGGGAAGGAGTGTGTGTGCACAGGTGCGTTGCGCCTGGCGGTGTCTTCTCTGCCTCCGCTCCCCGCTTTGAAACAGGGTCTCATGTACCTCACTGTGTAACTGAAGGTGACCTTGAACCCCCCTGCCCTCCTTCCCAGAGGCTGAGGCTGCAGCTACTGCATCTGGGTTTGCTGTTGTTGAGGCAAAGGCTGACTTTGTAGCCTAAACTGGCCCTCAGTTCATAGTCCACCTGCCTCAGTCTCCTGAGAGCAGGGATTACAGAGGTGTGCCATCACGCTTGGCTGTTCCTTTAGAAAAAAAAGTTCATTTTTTTCTTTTTGTCCCGGGGACCAAAAAAAAAAAAAAAGAGGGCTTTGTACACATTAAACAGTTGGTGTACCGTGGGACCATACCCTCGGTCTCTCTTGGATAGTTACCTGCTCATCTGGGTGTGGTGGTGGTACACATTTGCAATCTAAGCAATCAGGACTGACTTCCAGAACAGCCTGAGCTACAATGTAAGACTGGGGGGGGGGGGAGGCAAGCAACCAGTTTTCAGTCGTGAGACCCCACCCTGCCTTCTAGCAAGGTTTTCTCTTCTGAGGTGTCTTCTAGGAAATGCTTCCCCAGGGCTGGAGAGTTCGCTCAGCAGGTAAGAGCACTGACTGCTCTTTCAGAGGACCTGGGTTCAATTCCCAGCACCTACATAGCGACTCACAACTATCTGTGACTCCAGTCACCTCCCAGGGCACCAGGCACACGTGTGATTCACAGACATACGTGTAGGCAAGGCACGCGTATCAATAAAATGAAAGCTGAGAAATGTCCAGTTTCATATGGAAGAAAAGATTCCATACGTTTTCTTTACATCTTCCCCTGGTCAGCACATAATTTCTGCTTGGCACTCATTGTCCTCTAACTGGAGGTCTGTTACCACCACGGGCAGCTTCTCGGAGCTCAGCCTGCCCTGGAGCTCCATCCCACGTACCTGTTCTCCCTGCAGAACTCAGGGCGGTGTCCATGTACACAAGGACAGGCTGACGGTCACCTCTCCAGTCCTGATGTGGGTCCAGGTAAGCATAGGGAGGCTCCCTTCCTTCTCCTGTATCCAGCCTGTGTCACTGGTGTCCCCAAGGTGGCAACTCATGGGGGACATTCATTGAGACTGCTTAACCCTCCAACCAGGGTTAAAGCAAGTCGAGTGTTTCCCGAGGCAGACCAGCCTTAGCTGGTGCCTGTACTTGTCCTCGAGGGCTCATAAGAGACGTCTAGGTACGAGAACCACAAGGGTTGGCAAGCCTAGCCTTTGGATATTCATTTATTTATTGCTTATTTGTTTTAAAGGCAGGATCTCTTAGCCCAGGGTGGTCTCAAACTCACTATGTGGCCAAGGATGACCTTGAACTTCTGGTCCTCCAGTCTCACCACTAAGTGCTGGGATTATAGGTGTGCAGCATCATGGCCAGCATGCAGTCCTGGAGCTGTATCCTCAACCCATGCCCCACCCCCCTGGGACGCAAAACCTGGCTTTCCCAGTCCTCGCTGTCAGTGCAAGCATGGCCCCTTTTGTCCCCACGGCATGGTCACTCAGAATAGTGTCTTTTTTTTTTTTTTTTTTTTTTTTTTTTTTGGTTTTACGAGACAGGGTTTCTCTGTTTTGGAGGCTGTCGACCAGCCTGGCCTCGAACTCACAGAGATCCGCCTGCCTCTGCCTCCCGAGTGCTGGGGTTAAAGGCGTGCGCCACCGACGCCCGGCTCAGAATAGTGTCTTGTAATCAACTAGTGAGAATGAGATCAACCCTAAGCTAAACCTGCCTGCTTAGGGTCATCCGCCCTGGTCCACTCCTCGACGGAACTGGTGACCTCTGACATTATAGGGTTTGGATTGCCTCATGCGCTGGTGGCACCAAGGTCCGTCAGCTTGAAAGCCAATGGCAGCCCTGCCTGCGTGTGTCTGACAAAAGCCATTCTCCACCCCCCTGGACCGGCTGAACCATCTCCTACATGATTTCTTTTAAAAAAGCGTGAGCTCTGTTTTGTCTGCCTGATCAAGGGTGAAACTCTGGGAGAGTGGGGTTGAGGATGGATTCTACCCAGACAGGTTGGGTGGGAGGGCATTTCAAAAGACCGCAGGAGAGCCAGCAGAGGCGGTCTGGGAGGCCAGAGGCAAGGAATGAGAGGCCCGGATGTTAAGGTCTGTGTCTGGGTAGGTGGAAGGAGGTGCAGGGTTGTGCGTGGAGCCGGGGCGGTCACTGGACTGTGGCGGCCTCTGGGGCTGGACTTGGGACTTTGCCAGTCCCTGCCCTCCTGTCTGAGGTTTGACAAGCAGCATTGTCAGGGCCAGGAGTGACCACAGCATGGAGTGGGGATTGTCAGGGTTAGAGAAAAGCCTTCAGAAGATACAAGCTGGAATGAGTTTCAGATTCCTGCCATGACATGTTGTCCATAAATCTGTCTGTCTGTCGTCTGTGTCATCTTTCATGAGATATATACATATAGAGACAGGTTCTTGTGTATTCCAGATTGGCCTCAAGCACTGCGTAGCTGAGGGTGACCTTGAACCTCTGATCCTCCTGCCTCTGTCTCTTGAGCACTAAGATAACCGTGTGCTGCTGTGCTTGTTTTTAGGTGGTTTGGGGGCTCTATGTATGATAGGCAGGCCCTCAACCAGTTAAATGGCATCCCAGCCCATCTGGCCGTGACGTCACACTCTCCCACCCACTCCTGGGAAAAGATTCCTTGGTTAGAGAGTGTGAGGTGGGCACTGGGCAGCACGGCCACGGCCTCCACTCACTCCTTTAGTCCTCAGGCTCCTGTGTGCACAGTCTGGACCTGGCATCTTCTAATGGCGACATTTCTGTCGCACTCGGGCCGTTCAGACAGTCCCGGTGAAGGAGAAACAGGAGTAAAAGAGAAACACACATTTGAGCTGTTGAGGGCTTGGAGGGTGCCAGGTAGAGGCGGAAATCCTGAGGATTAATGGTTTATGATTTCGTTGTTTTTTTTTTTTAACATTTGTTTAGCTAGATAGGTAGGCATGGCCCACACCTGGAATCCCAGCACTTCAGAGGTGGAGGCAGAAAGATCAGGAGTTCAAGGTCATCCTTAGCTATTGGGAAGATAGCCTGGAGGTGCATGCAGATCTCCTGAGAAACCAGGAATGTTAAGTACACTGGATTGTCTTTCTAGTGGGGAAGATCTAAAACCTGTTCTAAGCCTGGCCGTGGTGCCGTACACCTTTAATCCCAGCAGGAGGATCTCTGTGACTTGGAGGCCAGCCTGGTCTACAGAGCTAGTTCCAGGACAACCTCCACAACAATACAGAGAAACCCTGTCTCGAAAATCCAAAAAAAAAAAAAAAAAAAAAGTGCTTGCTACTCTTCCAGAGGACCTGGGTTTAGCTCCCAGCTCCCATGTCAGATTGCTTATAGTCATGTAACTCCAGCTTCCGGGTATCTGATGACCTCTTCTGGCCTTCTCAGGCACCTGCACACATGAAACATACACATAGACACATATACATACACACAAATACAAACAATTGTTGTTTTTTTTAATTTGTTTTGTTTTGTTGGATTTTCAAGACAGGAATTCTCTGTATAACAACCCTGGCTGCCTTGGAACTTGCTTTGTAGACCAGGCTAGACTCAAACTCACAGAGATCCACCTTTTCCTGAGTGCTGGGATTAAAGGCGTGAACTACCACATTTGGGAAAAATAAATGTTTAAAACAGACAAAAAAAGATGTGTTTAGCCAAGTTGACCCTTTTATTTGATGGATGCCAGCTTGTTTAATTAACTCTCCTGACACAGACCCTATAGTGGTGACCCTCTTCTCCACAGAGCCCTTGGCATTTCTGTGCTGAGGTTTGTGGCTTAGAGGACTCAGTGGTTCTGTTGAGTCATGGTGGATTCTGTTGAGTCTTGATGGGTTCTGTTGAGTCTTGGTGGATTCTGTTGAGTCATGGTGGGTTCTGTTGAGTCATGGTGGGTTCTGTTGAGTCTTGGTGGGTTCTGTTGAGTCATGGTGGGTTCTGTTGAGTCAGGGTGGATTCTGTTGAGTCATGGTGGGTTCTGTTGAGTCTTGGTGGATTCTGTTGAGTCATGGTGGGTTCTGTTGAGTCATGGTGGGTTCTGTTGAGTCATGGTGGGTTCTGTTGAGTCTTGGTGAGTTCTGTTTAGTCATGGTGGGTTCTGTTGAGTCATGGTGGATTCTGTTCTTCTTCTCAGGCTCTGGACCTGATCCTGGAGAAGATGAAGGCTTCTGGCTTTGACTTCTCTCAAGTTCTAGCCTTATCTGGAGCAGGCCAGGTTTGTCAACAGCAGCCCCATCTGGGAACTGGGCTGTCTCAGCAGTGGGTGGGTGCTGAGTCTCCCACCCAGTGAGTGGGTGATGGCTTCCCAAGGAGTACGCATTTCTTTCTTTTCCTTCCTCCCTCCCTCCCTTCCTTCCTTCCTTCCTTCCTACCTTCCTTCCTCCCTCCTTCTCTTCCTCCCTTTCTTTTTCTTTTTCTTTTTAGATTTTCGAGACAGGGTTTCTCTGTGTAGCCCTGACTGTCCTGGAACTTGGCTCTGTAGACCAGACTGGCCTCAAATGTGAGTAAGCATGTTTTTGGTAGTGGCAGTACCCTCAGCTCTTTCACCTCAGGGACTGAATGGCTGGTCTCCTTAAAAGAATCTGAGCTGCTTCTACGATAAAGCATTCTGTAAACAGGACATTCAGGTGGGCTTGGTGGCGTGGGCCTATAATCCCAGCTAATTGCAAGACTGAGGCAAGGCAATTTGCAGGTTCAAGGCCTGCCTGTGCTGCAGGGTGAGTCTGGAGCTGGCCTGGGCAAATTAATTAGAATTAAACGGAGGGCTGTGGATATAATGCAATGGCAGAGCTCTTTCCTAGCATGTGTGAGGCCCGATGACCACTCTTTAGCTCTCAATAAATAACAATAGTCAAGTAGGATAGTTGATAGGGGACCTATGTACAGGTCCCAGAAAGGGATGGAGGGAAGATTAGATGTGAGCTTATTATGAGTGTTTGGTGACACTAAGACTGCTTTCTAGTTCTTGGAAGGAAAAACAGTAAGAAGTGATACTAACAGTGAGAGCAGTTTTATGTGTTTACTTTTAAGTGTGTGTGTGTCTGTGTGTGTGTGTGTGTGTGTGTGTGTGTGTGTGTGTAGGTTTGTTCACATAAGTGCAGACACCCTAGGAGGCCAGAAGAGGATGCTGGTTCCCCTGGAGCTCAGGCAATTGTGAGTCCCCCTGACGTGAGCATTGAGAACCAAACTTGGGTCCTTTGCCAAAGCAGCAAGCGCCCTGAACTGCTGAGCCATCTCTCCAGTCCCGAGAGTATTTTCAGTAGAGAGCTGTAGTGTTCCTGTTGTTGAGAGCACGGATGGGCCTGCGTGTGTGCCAGGCACTGCGCTGAGGTCCTCCACTTCTCTCGTCCCACTGGAGATTCTGAGCTGGTGGTGGCACTGCCAACAAGAAGAGGCTCTCTGGGCATGCCCAGTGCTGCCACGTAGACACCTGACCCAAGTCACATTATACCACAGCCTTATCTCGCATAGGGCCATTGTGACACAGAGCAGTGCCTGGAACATGGTACACTCTCTTAAATTTTAGCTGCTCTTTTTTAAAAATTAAAAAACAAAACTATTTAGTGCATTGTGTAATTGTGACATTATGCAGGGCAAGTCTGTGGGGGTCTCAGGACAGCTTCTGGGAGTTGGTTCTGCTCTTCTACCCTGCGGACTATAGGGGTGAAACTCGTGACATCAGGCTTGGCAGCAGGCACCCAGATCTCTCTCCTGCCTTTTCTCTCAGCCTGGAGCCCCATCCCACCACCCCTGTCCATGCTCCCCATCTGTACACCCACCCCATCTGTACACCCACCGGCTGCTTTCTCTCTGCACTCTCATTGCTGCGGCTCCACGGGTTGTGTGTGTGTGTGTGAGGGTGCATGTATACATGTCTGCACATGTGGGTGGTCAGAGGACGCCTGCTGATTGCCTGGCCAGTGAGCCCCAGGAATCTACCTGCTCCCCTTCCCCATGGCTGGACTATAAAATGCCTGCCTCTCCTCCTCCCCTGTGCTAGATGATAAGCATATACCACCATGCCCAGATTATTGTTATTTTCTTTTTTTAATCTATTTATTTTTATCTTATGTGCATTGGTGTTTTTGCTTGCTTGTGTGGGTCTGTGGGGGTGTCAGATCTTGGAGTTTCAGACAGTTGTGAGCTGCCATGTGGGTGCTGGGAATTGAAACAGTGTCCCTCTAGGAGAGCAGCCAGTGCTCTTAACCACTGAATCATCTCTCCAGCCCTATTGTTATTTTTCTTTTGTTTTTTTCCAGACAGGGTTTCTCTGTGGCTTTGGAGGCTGGGATGTTATTTTTCTTTAAAAAATAATTGTATTGTTTTATATGTATGGGTATTTTGTCTACATGTATGTCAAATGGTTGTGAGCCTTCATGTGGGTGCTGGGAACTGAACTCAGGTCCTCTGAAAGAGCAGCCAGGTCTCTTAGCCACTGAGCCATCTTTCCAGCCCCCTAGATTTTTTTGAAGTTTATTTTTAATTTACTTTTTATGTGTGAGTGTTTTGTCTTCATGTACATCTGTGCATCACATGTATGCCTGGTGCCTGCAGAGGCCAGAAGAGGCTATCAGATCCTCTGGGACTGGAGTTACAGATGGCTGGAAACCACCATGTAGGTGCTGGGAGTTGACCCTAGGCCCCTTAGAAGAGCATCCAGTGCTCTTAACCACTGAACCATCTCTCCACCCAACCCCAGGTTATTTTTCCAAGGAGGGACTGAACTCAGGTCCTCATGCTTGCAAGACAAGCCCTTTAACCACTGAGCCATGACCTGAGCCCTCTGCAGGGTTTTGTAATTGCATTGTTGTGTCTTCCCTTCGCTCCATTTCATTGTCCTGGACATCAGGGTCAGTAATAACCTATTAACTCATGTCTGGCATGATCTTACTGCCCAATATGTTTGTTAAGTGAACACATGGCATGAGACAACTTAGGCACTTCTGTAGGTGATATTTGAAAAACTAGTGCAGTTTGACAAGAGACACCACAATACAGACCAATGATTCCAGAACCCTTCCTACAAGTTTTGAGGTGGTGGAGGTCCTTCTCATTTTATAAAAGTGAGAGCCACGCATCATAAAGGCACTGAGCCGTGTGACAAAGGGGTGGTAGAGATAGTCTTGGAGACTTTTTTTGTGGCTTGTGTGCTGGAGGTTGTGACTCCAGGCCTGGCCCATGAACGTGGGTTTGCATTCTTTCTCCTCAACAGCAACATGGCAGCGTTTACTGGAAGATTGGAGCCAGCCTGGCGCTGTCAAGACTGTCACCAGCTCTCCCGTTACACCAGCAGCTGCAGGTGAAGATGCTTGTGACTATAATAAACCTCTGCAAAGCCTGCAGGGGGACCCCTGAGTCCAGGGAACCCTGAAGTCGGGGGCTTCTCAGCGTTGTCATGGGCACGAGGAGGAGGAGGAACAAGGTCTGCCCCGCCCCAGGCTGGTCTCCTTGGGGCTGCCCTCATTGAAGAGTCCCTTCCTCCAACAGCTGTGGGCCCCTGGGTGATGCTTGAAGGTGGGGTCTGCAGTTTCCTTTCCCCTCCTGTTTCCAAAGCGCCGGCTAAACCTGGCTTTGCTGCTGCTGTTCCCTGTCTCCTGCAGCCTGACTGTCCCAGGTTTTTGTTATGTTTTATTGAGACGGGGTTTCTCTGTGTAGTCCTGGCTGTCCTGGAACTCGCTCTGTAGACCAGGCTGGCCTGGAACTCACAGAGATCCGCCTGCCTCTGCTTCCCAAGTGCTGGTACTAAAGGTGTGCACCACCCACCGTCCGACTTGCCCAGGTGTCTTTAGCAGAGGTCCCGCCTCAGGCCTTCTGGAGAGACCTCCCTGGCCCCACAGAGGGCTTGTCCGTAGGGTCTTCCTGCTGTGAGGAGCAGTGTGACGCCCGAACCTCTGTTTTTCTTTCCAGGACTGCTTCTCCATCAGTGACTGCCCAATATGGATGGACTCCAGTACCACAGCCCAGTGCCGCCAGCTAGAGGCTGCCGTGGGTGGAGCCCGGGCTCTCAGCTGCCTCACGGGGTCCCGGGCCTATGAGGTGGGTAACACCCATGCTAGAATGGGGAGGAAGGCTCTGGGAGGCTTTAGTGGGCACCCAGCCTCTGGGGCAGGGATCGTCTGAACTGGTGCCAGTGTCAGTGTCTGAAGCCGGGTTGGAATGTGCTGGCCCTGGGTTCTGATCCAGGCTGTCCTGTCTCGTTTAGCAGTCAGTGACAAGGTTCTTGCATGTGATTCCAGGCCCAGGCTGGCGTCTTAGCATGGCTGCATTCCTCACTGGAGCTACTGTGTGTGTGTGTGGGGGGGTATGCTGCGTCAGACTCATGGTCTGTAGCCTCATGATAACAAGCGAGGTAGTTTTGAAGTTGAAAGGAGTTAAGAGTCCAGAGGACTTGACTCACGGGGCCCCAAGGGCTTTAGCTACTATCCCGGCATTTGTTGTGGTTGGCTATCTTGGGTCAGGTGACTGTGGCTTGATTAGGGGGTGGAGGTCTGGAGATGGCTCCGCAGGTCAGAGTTCCTACTGCACTTGCAGAGGTTCAGTTCCCAGGATGGCAGGTAACTGGCACGTGCTTGTCCAGGGGATTGGATGTCCACTTCTGGTCTCCTTGGGCACCTACGTAGGCGCGCGCGAGCACACACACACACACACACACACACACACACACACACTTACTTTATTCATGTCAAGAAGGCACACTTATACCTCCCTCATAAATAAAGTAAAAATAAAGGCAAAATGTTTTTAAACCCAGTTAGGACACTAGGAATACAGTTTCCACAAGGAGAATTCCTGAGCCCCTACTTCTGGTCTCATGGAGTTGGGAATGGGTTTCTGTGGTTAACAGCACTGGCTGTTCTTGCAGAGGACATGGGTTCAGTTCCCAGCTCCTGCATGACAGCTCATAGCTACCTGTAGCTCCAGCTCCAGGGTGATCTGATGCCCTCTTCTGGTCTCTGTAGGTTCCTGCACACTTGTGGCAAACAGACACAGTCTCATGCACAGGCCTGTACACATCAAATACATAAATAAATACATTTTAAGGACAGTTACAGGGAGGACTAGTCACAGAGCCGATTGCCCCTCCCAGGAAGCCGAGGTAACTGCCTTGTCTGAGGGTGCAGAGAGAGGGATGGCTGACTGCCTAGGAGCTCATTATCAAGAACATTTTCAGACTCAAAGGCCAAAATACACCATCTTCCGTGTTCATCTGGGAATGAGTGTTTTTAGATTTGGGGGTTTTCTTTTTTCTTTTTTTTTTCTTTTTGGTTTTTTTTCGAGACAGGGTTTCTCTGTAGCTTTGGAGGCTGTCCTGGGACTCACTTTGTAGACCAGGCTGGCCTCAAACTCACAGAGATCCACCTTCCTCTGCCTCCCGAGTGCTGGGATTAAAGGCGTGCGCCACCAATGCCCGGCAATTTGGGGGTTTTCAAAGCTGTTGTCATTCTACTCCATACCCAGATCATGCTGTGCTAAGCTCACCTTAAGGCCATTCTGTGTAGGATCTGAATGTCTAAGGGTCTGTGCTCTTTTTCCTCCCCAGCGCTTTACAGGGAACCAGATAGCAAAGCTTTTCCAGCGAAACCCCGAGGCCTACGCAAACTCCGAGGTTGGTGAGACTTCATGTTCCGTCAAAGTCACACTTAAATCCTTTTTGTCACACTCCACTCAACACAAGCACACCGTACAATTATGGTCTAATGCCTTTGATGAGTAGGTGTCAAATGGTTCAGAGAGGGGCACCGAGATGACTTGGAGGGTTCAGGGGCTCCAAGCCCGACCACCTGAGTTTGATCCCCACAACCCACGGGACGGAAGGAGGGAGCCAGTTCCAGAAAGCTGCCCTCTGACCTCCATACACGTGACGTGGCACGTGTGCACCTCTCTCACTCGATAAACAATACACTAAGACAAGTTAAAAATAAAGGCAAACACCCGTATCTCTTTCCAGTCTTCAACACACAGAGGGCACTGTGCCGCAGTCATCCAGGGGCCGTAGGCGGTGCCGAATTAGCCTAGGTATGCTCCAGGCTCTCTAGATTTGTAGAAACATACTAGATGGTGTTTGCACAACCATGAAATTGCTTAGGGTGTTGTTTCTTTTTCTCCCTCCCTCCTTTCTTTCTTAAATTTATCTTTTTTTTATAAAAGACCAAAAGGAAAAATATTTTTATTATTTATTTATCTGCGTGTGCGTTGTTTTAAATTATTTATTTATTTGTGTGTGTGGAGTGTGTATGGTTATGTGTGTGTGTGGAGATCAGAGGACAGCTTGTAGGAGTTGATTCTCTCCTTTACGCTACACGGGCCCAGAGATGGGACTCAGGTTGTCAGGCTTGGTGGCAAGGACGCTACCCTGCTGGGCCATCTTGCTGGCCCTCGGTCCTTAGTTTTTTTTTTCTTTATTTTTCTTTTCAGCAGCAGGCTAGTGCGGGCTAGCCTGGAATGCTTGACCCTCTTGCCTGGGATCCCCAGTGCTGGGCTTACGGGTTAATGTTCTTTCAGCTGTGACAAAATAACCAGTAAAAAGCAACTTAGAGAAGAGTTTATTTTGACCTACATGTTGAAGGTGCAGATCTATCAAGGCAGGGCAGCTGAAGCGTCAGGATCTTGTGGCAGCTGGTCACATTGTGTCCCTAGCCAGAAAGCAGAGAGAAGGGTGGAGAGGTGGCCCAGGAGTGAGGGGCACTGGCTGCCCTTGCAGAGGACCTGAGTTCAGTTCCCAGCACCCACGTGTCAGCTCACCATCATCTGTAAGTCCGGTTCCAGGGGATCCGATGTCCTCTTCTGTCCTCTGTGAGCAGCAGGCACATGTGTCATGCACAGCGTGTATGCGTGCAGAGCAGACAAATGCTCAGACACATAAAATAAAAAATAAATGAATCGTAAAGAAACCGGGGAGTGATGAGCACAGATGCCCGGCTCACCCTTTCCTCTCTGTCCAGTCCAGAGCCCAGCTCATGTAGTGCTGCCGGCGCCTAGAGTGAGTCAGCCAGGGGCCAGCGGGCACCATCTTGAAGCCTGGCTCCCAAGCCAACTGCATATTGTGCATGTTTGGCAAATCCACAAGAGTTACAAACATTTATTTTTTCTACTTACTTTATTTCTTTTCTTCCTGAGGCTGGGTCTCACGTAGCCCTGGTTGTTCTCAAGCTCCCTCTGACCCTGAACTCCCGAGCTTCTTCCTCCGCCTCCAGAATGCTAGAATTGCAGGTGTGCACGAGGCGTCTTTGTGTTTTGCTTTGATTATGGTTTCTGAGACAGGCGTTTGCTTTGTAACCTAGTCTCGCTTTGAACTCGCTACGTAGACCAGGTTGGCCTCAAACCCCTGTCTCTGCCTCAAGGGCTACGATGACAGGGTTCTGCCACTGTACCAGGCTGCAGGTATTTATTACCTGATGGTTCCAGGTGTCAGCCAGCTCGGCAGCATCAGCCACTGAGGGACGAAAGCCCTCCTTGAGAGGTGTGTGTGGAATCCAAGGCGTGTGTCCCAACGGGGACTCGAGGTGGCGACTGTCTTCTTCAGGCTAGAAGCCCTTGGGGTGAAGGTGACTTTAAAGACTCTCAGACTGAAGTCTGCAGTCACCAGTGATTCTCTTGGGGACCTTCCTGGGGGTAGAGGGGGGGTGGGTCAGCTTGTCTTTAAACTTGTGGTAGCCTTGGGAGTCTTGGCTCATCCTGTGTTCTGTGGCCGCACAGCCGTTTCCCTGTAAACAAAAGCCGGAGACCCCATAGCACTGGAGTGAGGAACTGAGGGCTTGGGTTCCTGAGTGCGGTGTGCTCACTGGGCCTTGGCTTTCGTTGTCACCAATCGTGACGGTTTTGTGGCGTAAACCAGTACCACCCAGAACTCTGGCTGGATACTCCATCTCTTTTCCGACCTGCTGAAGTTCCGGCTTCTGTTCCTGTGTGTGCATGTGTGTGAGTGTGTACGCGCACCCGCACGTGTGTGTTCACTCATGCGAAAGCCCGAAGCGTTCGTAGCTTAGGGTGTGTGGAAACCAGTCTTCCCTCACCCTGCTCTCGTGTGTGTGTGTGTGTGTGTGTGTGTGCGCGCGTGTGAGTGTGTGTGCGCACACAAGCACGTGTGTGTTCACTCATGCGAAGCGTTCGTAGCTTAGGGTGTGTGGAAACCAGTCTTCCCTCACCCTGCTCTCGTGTGTGTGTGTGTGTGTGTGTGTGTGTGAGTGAGTGTGTGTGCGCGCACCCGCACGTGTGTGTTCACTCATGCGAAAGCTCGAAGCGTTCGTAGCTTAGGGTGTGTGGAAACCAGTCTTCCCTCACCCTGCTCTCGTGTGTGTGTGTGTGTGTGTGTGTGTGTGTGTGTGTGTGTGTGCGCGCGCGCGTGTGAGTGTGTGTGCGCACACAAGCACGTGTGTGTTCACTCATGCGAAGCGTTCGTAGCTTAGGGTGTGTGGAAACCGTCCTCCCTCACGCTGCTCTCTTCTTTTCCAGAGGATTTCCTTGGTCAGCAGCTTTGCTGCTTCACTGTTCCTGGGTGGGCACTCGCCCATCGACTACAGTGACGGTAAGCCCTCAGAGCATGTAGAGACGCTTGTTCACGGGCAGGGTGGCCGTGGGGACTGCGAGCGCCTCACCCAGCCTGGGTGGGTGCCAGTCAGGCAGCTACCTCATCATTTCCCAAGAAGGAGGGACTATTAGTGATCTTCTGTTCATCAATTTCTACCAGAGCTCCCATGCACCTGCAGGTGTTTTTATTTTTGCTTCCTTCCTTCCTTAGGGTCTGGAATGAATTTGTTGCAGATCCAGGAAAAAGTCTGGTCCCAGGCTTGCCTTGATGCCTGCGCCCCCAATTTGGAGGAGAAACTCGGCTCACCAGTTCCTTCATGCTCAGTTGTGGTAAGTCCTCTTTCCAGTGATGACTTCTGTGGGTACTGGCGCTGCTGGTGGAGCCTAGAAGGGTACACACATCCACGTATGCAGGCACACTCAAGTGTGCACACACATACTCCCCACACACACTTGAGCGAGCACACATGCGCACGTACACGCACGAGCACACACATTTCCACTTACGCCTAAACTCAGCATTTGATACTAGTCAGAACATCTGACTATCTGGATAAGGGGCTTATACGTGCCAGAGCTAGATTCTGATGATTTCTGGGTGTCTGCACATCTAAGGGTCAAAGTGCAGAGAGTGCTGAAATTCCAGGCACTGAGCTTGTAGCAGGCAGGCTCTTGAAAACCAAAACATGAAGGAGCTGACAGACCACGGGCCCCGGCATCTCACTGACTGAGCCTGAAGGGCTTTGACCAAGTTCTGTTTATGGTTTATTGTTGTTGGTTTTGCCTCAGGTAGCCGTAGATGGCATGGAACTTGTTATGTACACCAGGCTGGCCTAGAACACGCAGAGATCCATCTGCCTCTGCCCCACGGTGTTGAGGTCAAAGGCGTGTGTCACCACACCTAGCTCAGGCTGCCTCTGTTTAACCAGGGTTCCAGTTTCCTCCTCTGGAGATAATACCGTCTGTCTTACAAGGCTCCTGTGCAAACGATGAGATACAGTATGTGGAGAGGGTTTCTGATGGTGGTTGGACAAGCTAGTAAGTTAAGGGCACTGGACCATGAGGGTAGTTGCCACCAAGTGTGATCGGGAGAAGAGGGTCCATGGTGTCTTTCTGCACACATGCCACACATGGGAAGCCAGAACAGTCAGAAAGAACCCCGTATGGGACAGCCGGCTGAGTGTGAAGGAAGGAGATGGGGCCGTCAGGAAGGGGCTGTTGCGATGACGCTCAGGCATAGCCACAGTTTTCCCTTAAGATTCTCGCCGACACGTTACCATGGGTAGAACATCCAAACCACTGTTACCCAAGGTGTGCTGCGAAACCAGTGGGCCAGCTGAGGGGAGAACGTTCTGCCCAGAAAAGCCTGCAGTGCAAGACACAAATGCATGGATGCCAGACAGACAGAAGAAGCGGACAGAAAACTGACAGCTCCTGTATGAAATAGCACAGAAGGCCAGACAGTGTGCAGGCATTAGAACTCACCAAGGCATAAACAAAGGGAGAATTAATTAAAGCTCAGAGGCCCAGTGTCCAGAGAGGATCACACTGCTGAAACGAGAGAGAGCTCATGCACAGCAGAGGAATTATTGATCTTAGCTCCTGTCCCATTTGTGGGGGCCACATCAGGGTGGACAGGCGGATACCAGGTTGCCTTGCTGCCTGGAGATTGTTACAGCATACATTGTTTTACTTGAGACTGGGGCACTTGTAACACGCCATGTTCATTAAGAATTAGGCTCCGGGGACTGGAGAGATGGATCAGTGGTTAAGAACACTAGCTGGTCTTCCAGAGGTCCTGAGTTCAATTCCCAGCAACCACATAGTGGATCACAACCATCCATAATGAGATCTGCTGCCCTCTTCTGGATTGAAGGTGTACATGCAGACAGAACACAAAATACATAATGGATACTCTTAAAAAAAAAAAAAAAAGGGCCGGGTGCGCCTTTAATCCCAGCACTTGGGAGGCAGAGACAGGTGGATCTCTGTGAGTTCGAGGCCAGCCTGGTCTACAAGAGCTAGTTCCAGGACAGCCTCCAAAGCCACAGAGAAACCCTGTCTCGAAAAAACCAAAAAAAAAAAAAAAAAAAAAAAAGAATTAGGCTCCAGCTGGGTTTTAATCCCAGGCAAAGACAGGTGGATCTCTGAGTTCAAGGCCAGCATGGTCTATAGAGCTAATTCCAAGACAGCCAGGTTTACATGGAGAAACCTGTCTCAACAAACAAGCAAACAAACAAACAAAGAATTAGGCTTCAAGCATGGAATGGTGGCCCATGCCTTTGATCCTAGCACTGAAAGATAGAAGCAGGTGAATCTCTGTGAGTTCGAGGCCAGCCTGAAATACATAGCAAGTTCCAGAACAGCCAGAGCCACACAGCGAGACCCTGCCTCAAAAAACAACAAAAAAGTTAGGCTTCAGATATATATATATATATATATATATATATATATATATATATATATACACACACACACACACACACACACACACACACACACACACACACACACACATATATATAAAATCTCCAAAGTAAGTGGATATGGCCTGATTGTTGGAGTGTAGAAATTTGTTTTTATTTTTATTTTTTTTTGTTTTTGTCCATACACTGAGCCCCTGGAATGTTACTGCCATCCACTGCCATCCGTGGCCTTTTGTTTCATGTGAAATGGAGACCAACTCTTTGTCTAAGCTTTGCCTAAGGCTTTGCTTGCCCTATGCTGCCAAGAATGCATCCTAAAGGAGGCTTTTCAGAGGCGAGTTTTGGAGGAACTGGAAAGAACCGGTTCTGAAAAATTACATTTTTACCTACTGACCGAGCATCAAATGATGATAAGTCACTGTGGCTTCATGCAGGTGTCACCCCTGCTGGAACCATACTTTCTATATTGGGCTTCCCTGACTCACGTGTCCTGTGAGAGTGTCGGGCAGCCATCATCAGAGATTCGTGGGAGCCTGTGGTTGAGCGACTGCCTCTTGCTTGTCCCTGGGGAGCCAGTTCTCAGGACCAATCCCAGCTTTCAGAGGCTCCTCCGTGGCTTCAGCCTCAATTGCCTTTGGGGTGCCCAGTGGGATGGTGGACTCTTGGACTTCTCACCCTCTGGTTTTGTCTAGTCTTCCAGATCACTCCTCCAACTTAACCTGTATACACGCCTCGTCACATCCTGGCTTCTGAGGCAACCTAGGCCAAGACATTTATTTTCCCAGGGCAGATGGCTCATTCTGATGGAAACTTAAAACATTGCTGGCTGAAACAAAATTTTCTTCCCATACACTGGGGGGGAAAATCTCTTGAGACAGTTTCACATGGTCTAGGTTGGCCTTGAGCTTGTCGTCTAGTTCAGGCTGGCCTTGAGCTTGCTTTGTAGCCCATGCTGACCCTGAGGTTAGTTTTCATTAGAACACTGTTCTATGCACCTGCCTGATTATTCTTAGTCTGGTTACTGGCATAATAAACAAGTAAGACATCTGCTGTGTCATCTGCAAGTTTGCTTACCAATGTCCTGTTACTTTCTTTTCTTCAACATTGTATCCAGAATTTGGTGTTCACAAAGTAGGGAGAGGTTAAGAGATCACTATGTTCTAACTACTCTCAAATCTCAGACTCATAAGATGCTGGAGGTGACCTCAGGCCTGTGGTTCCAAACCTGTACTGGGCCCCTCCTGTGTGTGGCTAGGGAGGATGGTGGAGCCCCAGGGTGGACCACAGATGCCTGCAGCAGCCTCATAGCTGAGGTGTGGAAGGTTCTTCAGCCCCAGTTACCTGGAGCCAGGACTCTCCTGGGTTGTGGTGCGCATAGCCGTGCTGGGCAGGCTGTGGTCATGTCAGCACAACACAGGTGCTCTCTCTCCCTAGGGAGCCATTTCCTCCTACTATGTCCAGCGCTATGGATTCCTTCCCACATGCCAAGTGGTGGCTTTCACTGGGGACAACCCAGGTAAGTGCCTCAGGAGGAGGAGTTGCTCTCCAAGTGCCTGTGGGTTGCTGGACTTCCCGCCTTCCTTTTCCTTAGATATATAACGAGACTGGGGTCTCCCTCTGAAGGCGCGGATTGTACTATGTAGCCCAGGCTAACTTCGGCTGCTCATCAGTCCTCTCTCTCCCTGGGTATGGGGAATCCAGATGAGAGCCAGCACACCTGGTTCTCACTTGTACTTTTAAAGAATTCCACTCCGTCTTCTTGCTCATCTCTCTCTGTGTGTACACGTGTGTGTACGCGGGTGCTTGTGCCTGTGTGTGTGTGGGGGGGGGGGCGTGGGGGGGCGTGTGTGTGTGCACGTGCATGTGTAGACCAGAGGACAACCTCAGCTGCCTGCCATTCTTCATATGCTGCTAACCTTTCCTTTTTTAAGTAGGGTTTCTCACTTACCTGGAACTCCCAGGGAGACTAGGCTGGCTGGTTGCATAACCTCAGAGATCTTTTAGGTCTCCCCCTCCCCAACGCTGGGTCCCCTACATTGGTGCTATGAGTGCTTGCCACCATGCTCAGCCCGCAGTCTAGCTCTCCCCCCCTCCCGCCCCACGAAGCCTTCTGTGCTGCTGTCTTCCCTCTGGAATCTGACTCTGTCTCCACCCCAGCCTGGCCCTGACCCTCAAAGGCGGCTCTCAGGCCTGCACCGTGTGTGGGTGGAGCCTGGTGGATGTGAAAACGGTGATTATCTCTCAATCCCTACCTCCTTCCGATTCCAGCCACCATCTCGGCTCCTCCAAACCCTTCCTTCAGGACCCCCCCCCCCCCACCTTGCCTCTCCTCCTTCAGGGACTCTCTAGGCCTCGGGCCTCCGAAGGAAGCCCAGATGGGCCGCACCGAGGAGGGTGCTGTGTGCTGCACTCCAGCTCCACAGGGAAAGCCCTTGGAAGGGTGTTAAGACGGGAGGGGGTCTCACTGTGAGATCGTCCTGTGCTGGCGCATGCGCCTTCACCCTTTTGGTCAACTTGCTGTGCTGGGGTGCGGGCTGCGGCCGGCCTGCCCTTACTTGGCCTCCTGTGTGTGTGGGGGGGGCTTTGTGTTGTCTCCCGTGCTTCCGCTTCCGCTGCTGAGTCCACGGGTGTCTGCCCCAGTCCCGTTTCTCCTTCACTCAGTTCATTCACTCAGCAGTTAGTGAGCACCAGCTACGGGCCATGTCTTCTTCAGAGGTGTGCGTGCGTGCGTGTGAATGCGCCTCAGCAAAGAGGTCAGAGAAGGATTGCTGCTGGGAATCCTGCATCTGGGGGTGCGGCTGCAGCCCCCGTGACCTCAGCTCTCCCTTTGTCCTGGTTGAGGGAGCTCACTGCACACTCCCGCCTGGCCTGCCTTCCCCCATCGCGAATGCCTGGTCTCCTTGGTCCTCACTTCTTGGAGGGCCTGGCGGCGGTGGGGAGTTCGAATCCCTGAGACTGGACTTTTTCAGCCCAAATCAGGGCCCTCGGCTAGAACACGCTACCCTTGGGCCCTGCCACCGTTTGGGCTCCTTGGCCTCTCAGCTTGCTGATGTGTGGGTTAAAGGCAGAAGGTGGTGGCGTCTGTGCTGCTGTCCCGGAGGTTACTGCAGTTTGCTGTGTGGATCATGTGACTCCCGCTAATCCCTGGTCTCCCTCCTGTTCTCAGCGTCACTGGCAGGCATGAGGCTGGAGGAAGGTGACATTGCGGTAAGGCCACTCCTCACACCTACAGACTGTCTGTCTGGGGACCGCGGGCTGGGTGTCAGCTGTGCATTTGCCACATACCAGAGAGTCTGCTGCCTCTAAGGAGGACGGTGACCCGCTGTCTTTCCTTAGACGGCCATTGCCCTTCACTGATGTCAAGCATGGCCCCGTCTGCTTGCCAGTGACTAGTCTGCTGGGCGAGAGTGCTGGACATGGGCCAGGGTGCTGTGAACTCCCTCCCAGGTACATGGGAAGATTTAATCTATGGCTTTCTACGTCTATCAGGGAAGCCATTTGGGAAACCGTTGTTTTGATGGTTTTGTATTAAGTTCTAGAAAGCCACTAACAGTGCCCATGAGATCCTGGATCTGGGTAGCCCATCTTTAACCGGACTGGTATGGGGAGAGCTTTAAAAAAAAAAGTGTCTCTGAGGAGGTGGCGGTTGTCACCTGTAGTATGGGGCATGAGGTGACTGAGTGACAGTGGAGGGAGGGAGGTGTGGAGTGCATCCCTGGCAGAAAGGGAACCTTTGTAGGGGAGCCCTGGGCACCTCACCCTCTATTCTGTTCTCCTCAGGTCAGCCTGGGCACCAGCGACACCCTATTTCTCTGGCTCCAAGAGCCCCTGCCTGCCCTGGAGGGCCACATCTTCTGCAACCCAGTCGATACGCAGCAGTACATGGCACTCCTGTGGTAATCCTGGGATCCCTGGGTTGGGGGAGGAAGATGCAGACAAGCCTGCCACAGCCAAACACCCCAAGGCATTCCTACTAAATTGCCTGCTGGGCAGCCAAGACCACGGGAACACAAGTTCCTGCTTGACAGCAGAACTGTCTGGGGAAGATCCCAAGACCTATAGTCCCCCGCGCCTGGGTTCAAACTCTCCCTCAAACACCAGTGTCCTGTGTAACACTAGTTTGTAAGTAAGGCACTTACTTCATGACATATCTAACTTGGTGTGCGGGTGAGCTTGCTTCCCGAGAATTTGCACAGGAGGTGTGTGTTCCAAGTCCTTTGGAAGCTCCCTGGCTTAGAAGGCTTCTGAGCTGTAAGCACCAAGAACCACTGGAGGATGGATATTCAGGTCTAGCTGTGCTAGTAGCTGGCCCACTGGAGCTGATAGAAAGCACTGGAAGCCCCCCTCTGGGCTCCACTGTGGCAGCTTCCAGCATAAACAGAGTCCAGGATAAGTGTGAGCCCAGCGCCTTCCAGGATGTCCCTGGAGCCACAGGGGAGCCTCAGATTCTTGCTGCCTGCTCTGCCCGGCCCAGGGGTCGTGGTCTAGCCTGACCTGGAGGCCCGCTGCCCAGGACATTTCTAAAACCCCTGGGTCCAGTCAGGTGTACAGTTTAGTGGTAGACTTGGTACCAACCATGTAGAGCATGTGGGTTCCAAACAACACAAAACCTGGGAGCCCAGGACCCATACTATGTGTCTTCCTTCCTTCTTTCCTTCCTCCTCCCTCCCTCCCTCCCTCCCTTCCTTCCTTTCTTTCTTTCCTTCTTTCTTTTTTTGTTTTTATCCAGACAGGGTTTCTCTGTGATGTTTTGGAGGCTGTCCTGGAACTCGCTCTGTAGACCAGGCTGGCCTCGAACTCACAGAGATCCACCTGCCTCTGCCTCTCGAGTGCTGGGATTAAAGGTGTGCGCCACCAACGCCTGGCTACTGTGTGTATTTCTGCAGCTTTAAAAACGGCTCCCTTATGAGAGAGAAGATCCGGGACGAGTCTGCTTCCGGTTCCTGGAACAAGTTCTCTAAGGCCCTGCAGTCCACGGAGATGGGGAACAACGGAAACGTGGGTAGGTTGGGCCTGTGACAGGGCAGGAAGGCTTGGAGCACCATGGATTGGGTTCGTGGAGAGGTTTGGGGGGGTTCTTTCTGTCTACACTTGTAGCCTCATGAGCTGGTGTGGGCCCCCGGGTTCCGAGGGTGGGGTCATGAGGCTACACTTGGCTGTGAAACGTCAGAACCTAGCTGTATCTTCCACCCCTCAAAGCCCCTGGTGAATGAGGTGGCAGCCCCAGGAGCTTCTGTTCCCTGCGGCTTCTCAGTACGCAGCTTCCTGCCCCAGACACAAGGTGTTGTGTTAGGAGGAACGTAGCACCCAGGCCACGTCCTGAGGAAGGAGAGCATGTCACCTCCGTTGGTGCTCAGGGTTAGTGAGATGCCAACGGGAAATGAGCAGAGTTACCTCAGAACAGCCCAGGCCTTCCCAGTCCCCTCCGTTCTGTTGGAGAGAAAGGACTGAGGATACCTCGGGGCTCCTCGAGGGGATGGATGGGAGGAGGCCTGAGGCACGGGTGGGGTAACTTTGCTTCACCCTTTTTGAAGCCTTTTGAAAAAAGTGTTCTTTGTTCTGGGTCGCTGACAGCTAATCCCTTCCTGGTTTTGCTTCAGGTTTTTATTTCGATGTAATGGAGATCACCCCTGAAATTGTCGGGCGTCATAGGTTTAATGCAGAAAACACTGAGGTACTTCGGTCTTTTTTTTTTCCTTTCATGTGTGTGGTGTGTGTGCATGTCTGCATGTGTGTTGCACTGGCATGCATGTGGCAGCCCAGGGTTGACACCAGGAACCTTTCTGAGCGGCTCTCCCACCTGGCCCATTGAGTCAGGTTCTCACCATCAAACCCAGAGCTCGTTCAGGGTGTGGCTCGGCTGGAACTACAGGCAAGCCACCACGCCCACCCAGTGTTTTCGTGGGTGCTAAGGCTCCTTCCTAGCTCAGGTCCCCGGCCCCAGACACATACCTATGCGGTGAGTTCATTCACCGGCTCATCTACAGACGTGCTCGGGGTGCGTTCTAGAGGCTGCGGTTTCAGCCGGGGCTGACAGACCCTGTCCCTCCTCGGAGAAGGAGTGCAGGGGACTGGAGTGCTCTGAACTACTGTCTGCTCCCATTGGTGTGTGTCACTTGGTGGCTATGCCCTCCACCTCCCAGCAGCCCTTGGGCCCTGAGGTCAGGAGTTTCTTCCTAGTGGGAAGAGCCTGTGGGAGAGACAATGACACTAGCCTAGGGTAATTGGGTTCCCAGCATCAGGCTTGTGATTTTAGTATAGTCTTCTTTCTCTAAGCAACTCTGTTAGGCATGACCAACCCTTTTTACAGATGGGGAAGCTGAGGCCTCAGTGGCCTGCCCAAAGTCACAAGGAAACTCAAGCCCAACCACTTTCCTTTAATTTCCATGGGGCCTCTTCCAGAAGAGTCCCTGTTTGGAATGGATTTTCTGGTAGAAAACCATGTTTTGGGGTTTGGGGCTGGAGGATGCTTGTGAACCCAGTAGAAGTTGGGGAGGCTCGGTGAGATACTCTAGTCCCTGTCATAGTCGGGTGACATGGGTTAGGTGTTGCAAATTGTTACACTCTCAGTAGAATTGTTTTTGGATACAATGTAAAAAGTTTTCTGGGAATGGTGATTCAAGCCTTTGATCCCAGCACTTGGGAGGCAGCATCAGGCAGATGTCTGAGTTTGAGGCCAGCCTGGTCTACAGCGTTCCAGGACAGCCAGAGCTATGTAGAGAGACCCTGTCTCAAACAAACAACAAACAACATGTAAAAAATCTACCCTGGTCCTCAGGTTGGAGGTTAAGTTCAGTCTCTGTTTACAGAGAAAAGATACTGCCTGCTCTTGTGTAGGTCAGTCCTAAGCTTATCAAGGAGAAAGTAAGTTCTTCATTCATTCATTCATTCATTCATTCATCATTCATTCACTCAGTAGAGATGTTTTTTCTTTCCAGATTTGTTTATCTTTTTAGTTTTTACGAGACAGGGTTTCTCTGTATTGTTTTGGAGGCTGTTGGTCCAGCCCGGCCTCGAACTCACAGACATCCGCCTGCCTCTGCCTCCCGAGTGCTGGGATTAAAGGCGTGCGCCACCAACACCCGGCCAGATTTGCTTATCTTATCAGTGTTTGTTTGCACGGATGTATGTCCATCCTGTGTGTGCCTGGTGACCTCAGCAGCTGAAAGAGGACACCAGATCTCCTGGAATTGGAATTACAGATGGTTGTAAACTACCACGTGGGTGCTGGGAACTGAACTCAGGTCCTTTGCAAGAGCGTAAAGAGACAGTGGCAGGTTTACTTCTTGATTGGAGAGGCTGGAGAAGCAGGCCTCAGCCTGGGGTGACAACTATTAGAGCTTCTTGATGTGTCACAGTCGTCATTGTGGATACTCAGGATAAATTCACGGCTATTACTATCAAACATCTACTCTGTATCCTAATCCCTGCCAATCTAATTTGGTCATGTGACCTTGAAAACCAGGTTCCCCCAGTGCAGCCTTAGGTTAGGACAAAACACTCACATGATAGTCTAGGTCAGAGGGGAAATGCTGGAGTCGGTACTTGAACCCCTGGCTGCCTGAGACTGAACCCCTGGCTGCCTGAGACTGATCACTGTGATGTTGCTGGCTCCTCAGAGTGGCACACAGGTGGGGTGCGAGCTGTGCATGTGAGGGTGAAGTCAGTGTGCCGGTGTGACACGGGAAGTTGGTGGTTAAAGTAGGATCATGTACACACACACACACAAGACACACACACACAAGACACACACACAGACACACACATGCACAAGCCACATACACACACGCACATACACACACACATGCACAAGACACACACACATGCACAAGACACACACACACATGCACAAGACACACACACACATGCACAAGACATACACACATGCACAAGCCACACACGCACATACACACACACATGCACAAGACATACACACACATGCACAAGACAAGCCACACACGCACAAGCCACACACGCACATACAGACATACAGACAGACACACGCACACGCAGAATCCCTCACTCTGTGCCTGCTTTATCCTGCAAACAGGTCTCAGCATTCCCTGGGGATGTAGAGATTCGAGCCCTGATCGAAGGACAGTTCATGGCCAAGAGGATTCACGCAGAAGGCTTAGGCTACCGAGTCAGTAAGTGAGCGGCCGGCTGGATGTATTCTCGGGCTGGGGAGGGGCAGAGGCCTAGAGACAGTGCCTAGGAAGGATCTTTCATTACAGGACAGCCAAGGCTACACAGAGAAACCCTGTCCTTTTTTTTTTTTTTTTTGGCTTTTCGAGACAGCGTTTCTCAGTATTGTTTTGGAGCCTGTCCTGGAACATGCTCCATAGACCAGGCTGGCCTCGAACTCACAGAGATCCACCTGCCTCTGCCTCCCGAGTGCTGGGATTAAAGGCGTGCGCCACCAGCACCTGGCTAAATTAAGTTTTAATAGTGTCTAAAAATAAAAAAGAGTATTTCAAGAATGGACACGCATGGGTAAACAAACAAATGTAAAAAAGAATGTCGCTTGTGGGTCTGGGCTGGGCATGGTGGCACATACTTGTAGCCCTAGAACTTGGGAGGTGAACTCCAGTAGATCAGGAGTTCCAGGTCATCCTCTGCTACATAGAGAATTTGGGGCCAGCCTGGACTAGATGAAATCCTACCTCAGTTCCTTCCAAAGGGTGGTGGAGGACACATGATGGCTCAGTGGTTAAGAATACTGTCACACTTATGTAAGATCTGAGTTCGGTCCCCACCATTCCTTGTTGAGTGTAGCTCCAGGTCCAGGGGACCCAGTGCCCTCTCCTGACCTCCACGAGCCCCCACATGGAACATCTGCATCCATGGACACATACATGTAAAATGAAATAAACCCTCTTTAAAGAGCAAAAGAGAAAAAACATACATGTAAAATGAAATAAGCCCTCTTTAAAGAGCAAAAGAGAAAAACACCCGTCAAAGCTTCTTGTAAGGCTTGAACACGAGACCCTTGTCAATTTGAAGGGAATTCCATTCTGTTATTGATATGTTGGGAGATTTTTTCTTTTTCTATTTTTGGGGTTGTGGTGGAGCAAAGTGGGGTGCTTGTGGTTAAACTCAGGGCCTTGTGTTAGCTAGGCAGTCACTCTCCCAACTGAGCTACATCCCCAACCCCAAATTGTTTAATTTTTCAGTTGGTAAAGACAATAAAGACAGATGGACTGTAGGTTACATGTGAGGAGCCTTGCGTGGGCAAGCCAGCTTTGGGTCTCTCCACAGCCCGGGAGACCAGCAGGGGCCACAGGCCCACCACAAGCCACCCACGGCTGAAGGACAGTCCCTTTCTGCCTTGGGAGAATTGCTACAGCCACCTCAGTTCTGTTTCCGTCTTTTGTCTTACAGTGCCCAAGACAAAAATTCTGGCCACAGGAGGAGCGTCTCACAATAAAGACATCTTACAGGTAGGCGTGGTGTTGTCCCCCCCCCCATCATCTTCCTTGTTGCTGCATCTAGGAGCTAGATGTCTTCCTTGGTCACTCTTCGCCTTGTTTTGGGGAACAAAGACCTTCACTGAATCTGGAGCTCACAGGTTTGACCAGAGTGACTGGTTAGCAAGCCCCAGGGATTTGCTTTCCGACTTTTACATGGGTTTCTAGGGGCTTAAAGTCGGGTCCTTATGCATGTTAAGGACTTTGTTGAATGAGTCCTCTTCTCTGCTGTCCATCCATTTACTTTGTGACACTCGAGGTTCTGGGTTGGATTCCCAGTACTGAAAACAAGCAAACGGAACAAACTCAGGGTTTCCACCGCTGTGATAAAACACCATGAGGGAAAGCAGCTTGGGTAGAAAAGGGTTTATTTCACCTTATAGCTTGTAAGGCCATCACTGAGGGATGCCAGGGTGGGAACCAAGGCAGGGCCGGGCAGACAGGACCCGATGCAGAGGCCATGGAGGGAGCTGCTCACTGGCTTGCTCCCCATGGCTTGCTCAGCCTCTTTCTCATAGAACCCAAGACCACCTGCCCAGGGATGACCCCACCCACCATGGGCTGGGCCCTCCCCTCCCATATTAATCACTAATTAAGAAAATGCCCTACGGGCTTGTCTACAAGCTAATCTTATGGAGGGATTTTGTTTTTCTCAACCATGTTTCTTCCCTCTTTTCAGATAACTCTAACTTGTGTCAAGTTGACAAAAAAAAAAACAAGTATATAAATAGTCTAAAAATATAGGACAAGGCTGGGGGTGACTCAGCTGGCAAAGTGATTGCCATGCAGATATGAGGACCAGGGTTCAGATTCCTACAGCCATAGAAACAGTCTTGGTCGTGTGTGCCTGTAATCCCAGCACTGGGGAGGTGGAAACAGGAAGGTCTCTGGGAGTGTTGGCCGGCCACTCTGGCCAATTCGCGAGCTGGTGGCCAAGTTAAAGGTCCCTTCTCAAGCAGTGAGGTGAAGCGATTGAGGAAGACACCTGGCGTTAACCTCTGGCACCCACTTGTACCTGCACACATCACGATTCCTCCTCCACCACGCGCGTATGCACACACACACACACACACACATGCACACACACACACAAGTACAGCAGGTTAGACTCAGGGGTGCACACTTTTAATCCCAGTGCTCAGCATACAGCAGCAGGTGGATCTGTGAGTTCTAGACCAGCCTGGTCTAAATAGTGATTTCTACACCAGCCAGGGTTACATAGTAAGACGGTGTCTTTTAAAAAAAAACTACAGGGCACGGTGGTACATCCTTGCAATCCCCACACTCAGGAGGCAGATGCAGGAAGATGAGGCATTTGAGATTAGCTTGGGTTACATAGTAAATTTCAGGCTGGCTGGAGCTATGTGGTAGGCGCTTGTCTTTTAAAAGGTACGGGGACAGCCTGTAAACTGGCCCTTCTCCAGGGTCTCCCTTCAGGCCACCCTGTCTCATCACTGGCTCCATGCCCCAAGCACACTTAAGGCAGCTGTGGCCAAATGGAAGGCATCAGAAGACATACATAAAGAAGGAGAGTCTAGAAGGTTCTAAATGACCTCTCTGAGTGACCACTCACCCACTGTAACCTCTGTATCCCTCCCAGGTGCTCGCAGATGTTTTTGGGGCCCCCGTGTATGTCATGGACACCACCAGCTCAGCCTGTGTGGGCTCTGCATACCGAGCTTTTCATGGTAGGTGGATGAATGGGGCGTGGCTGTCTCTGGGCATGTCGAGGCATCACTAGGATGACAAGAGTGGGAAGGGGGGGACGGTGTCTTAGTTAGGGTTTCTATTGCTGTGAAGAGATACCATGACTGCAGAAACCCTTACAGGGAAAACATTTAATTAGAGTGGCGTGTTACAGTTTCAGAGGTTCAGTCCATGACCATCACGGTGGGGCATAGCAGCTGGCAGGCAGATGTGGTCCCGGAGGAGTAGCAGAGAGTCCTACATCTTGCAGGCAGCAGGAAGCAGTCTGAGATGCCAGGCAGTATCTTGAGCATATTGGAGACCTCAGAGCCCGCCTCCACAGCAACACACTTCCCTCAACAAGGCCACACCCACTCCAACAAAGCCACACCTCCTAATAGTGCCACTCCCTTTGGGGGGGCCTTTTTTTTTTCAAACCACCACAGATGGCATTCCCAGTTTGGGGACGCTGGAGTCTCGGGGGTGCCAGCCTCATTCCTATCCCTCCCAGAAGGCAAGAATAAACCCAAATCCTTTGTCTTGTATTCTCTAGTTAGAGTGGAAGGGAGGGAGGTAAGATTGAAACGGGGTGAGGTCTGATCAGAGTTGGGCTCTGCAGAGAGAGACCAGAAAGTCCACAGGGCATCACAGGACACGGATGTAGGTCTGTACAGCTAGCAGAGAGGAAGGCAGAGGCTGCGAATGACGTCCAGAACAGCAAGAAATTGAGACAACTGTCAAGGCCTCAGACCCAAGAAGTCGAGAACCGTGGACAGCTCCTGGGAGGCCTCGGCTCTCACGGCTGTCTGCCTGAGACGTTTGTGGAAGGCAGAATTGGGGTCAAGGTTAGACCCCTCAGTTAGGGTGCTTCCATCATATGTCTGCTAGGGAGCTCCTGGCCGTCCTCAGGTTCGTCAGGGACTCAGCCCTCTCCCCTCAGGGCTCATCCCCGTCCCTCCCCCTCCCTCTCCCTCTCTCCCTCCCCCTCCCTCCCTCTCTCCCTCCCCCTCCCTCCCTCCTCCTCCTTCTCCCTCCCCCTCCCTCCCCCTCTCTCCTCCTCCCTCCCCCTCCCTCCCTCTCTCTCTCTACTACCCCCTCCCATAATTTTTGTTTTGAGGTGAGGTCTCATAGAATCGTCCAGGTTGACTTTCAGTTCATAGTTCACTCTGGATTCCAGTAGGCATCGCAAAGACTCACCCATTTTAAGTAATTTTTGCAATTTTGCTGTCAGTGACTTTTAATAACTTTTCTGAGAAGGGCTAATCCGGTTTAACACATTTCGTTGTCTTGTTCTGGTGCTGGGTGGAAGCCAGGGCCTCTGTGTGCTGACTGGCCCCTGCTACCGAGCTGCACTCCCAGGCCCCCCGTCTGACAATGTTCATCACCGTAGCGGTGTCTGTCACACAAGTCGGTTAGTTTGTGATGTGCATGGACGTGAGATGACTTTTTCCCTCTAGGTCTTGCAGGAGGAGCAGGTGTGGCGTTTTCAGAGGTTGTGAAATCAGCCCCTCATCCCAGCCTGGCTGCCACCCCCAGGCCAGGGGCTTCCCAGGTGAGAAGCCACAGGGCTTTCTCTTAGCATTTGCCTTCTCCATCTGGCTTGGGGGTCTTTTTTCTTCTCTTTAAAAGCTAAGTTTTTCTTTCTCATCTACATTAAACCTGCTATACCCAGCTAGAGGGAAATCTTACTCGCCCCCTCCCCCACTGCCAAGTGCTTGGGGATTGGTCCTACAGGTTTCACCCAGGGGAAGCATGTACTTGGTTGTGGAATTACATCCTTGGTTTACAAAAGACACCAAGGGTGCTGGGAACTGAACCTCGGTCACTGCGCCATCTCTCCAACTCCTCAGTTCTCAGAAGTAAAAATAGAAACAAAATTAATTTTAATATAATATATTTCACTTCATCTAATGTGTCCAAGTTATCATCATTTTAGCCCTTTAGCTGCTAAGATAAGAAATTACTGATGTAATCCATATCGGTTTTGCACAAGGTTTTGGAAAGTTGGAGTACGTTTTATAAACATGTGTATTTTTATTGATGTATGTGGGTGTTTTGTCTATATGCATATTTATGCATCATGTGCACTCCTGGTGCCTGAAGAGGCTGGAAGATGGTGTCAGATCCCCTGGAGCTGGAGTTACAGACCATAATGAGATCCCCTGGAGCTGGAGTTACAGACCATAGTGAGATCCCCGGAACATGAGTTATAGACCATAGTGAGACCCCCTGGAGCTGGAGTTACAGATCACAGTGAGTCGCCATGGGGGTGACTCAAACCTAGGTCCTTTGGAAGGGCAGCCAGTGCTCTAAACCACTGGGGCATCTCTCCAGACATGGAATTTACTTTTTTTTTCTTTTTTGGGGTTTTTGAGACAAGGTTACTCGGTGTAACAGTCCTGGCTGCCTTGGAACTTGCTTTGTAGACCAGGTTGGCCTTGAACTCACAGAGATCTGCCTGCCTCTGCCTCCCGAGTGCTGAGACTAAAGGCGTGCGCCACTGTGGCTGGCTCAGAATTGACATTTTAAAACTGCAATCTGCAAGAGATGTGGGCATTGCCTCCCCTTCCCCGCTATAAACCAGTCTTTCTGTCTCCAGGTCTATGAAGCGCTTCTCCCTCGGTACGCTGAGCTTGAACAGAGAGTCTTGTCTGGGGCCCAGAGGCCTCTGGAATGAGGTTTGTGCACCCTGGCAGCTGCTGCCTCCTGCCGGCCCAGACTCCCCAGTGGCACTTGCCTCCTTGCTGGTTCTGAGCAGCGCCTGGGCTGTCCTGTCCTGGACCATCCTGAAGCTGGCCGTGACTCCCTGCAGACATGTGGGCTGCCCATGTCCCAGGATGGGACAGCAACTCTCCTTTCTGCCTTCCATTCCTAGAGGCAGGAAAACACAGTGTGGGGTCTGGCCACCAGAGATGATCACCTTCCCCTTTCAAAGGCAGAAAGCAAGCTCTTTCAGGACCAAACTCAGCCGAATAGGGGGACAGCCTTCTCCCCGACTGACCCCTCCCCGGTCCTCACTCCACGCTGGGACCGCTCCCTCCATCCTTCCCTGCAAACCAGACTTTACCCTTCCCCCACCCTCCCAGCTGTTTCTACACCGCCCTGTTTCTTTAGGTGCCTTCCCAGGGTCCTCTCCTGTCTGCCCATCTCCTCTCTCCCTTCATCCTTCCCTCCCCTTACCTATCTGGTATAACTTCCCACTTAAGGTGAACTTCGTGGCCTAGTGAAGTTCCTTCCTGTGCCCTCCCCCAGTTCTGTCTACACCTGGCTGGGGCTGACCAGGCCACCTGGCTGGGCCATTGCCAGGCTAAACACTTTAGGGTTCACCCCTGTTTCATTGTAGTTCACATGATGGCAAAACTGTTTCTCTTTGAGACTTTTTGTTTTGAGCCAAGGTCTCCCATTAGCCCAGGCTGCCCTCAGACTTTCTTTGCAGCTGAAGGTGACCTTTTTTTTTTTTTTTTTTTTTTTTGGTGTTTTCGAGACAGGGTTTCTCTGTGGCTTTGGAGCCTGTCCTGGAACTCCCTTGGTAGTCCAGGCTGGTCTCGAATTTACAGAGATCCGCCTGCCTCTGCCTCCCAAGTGCTGGGATTAAAGGCGTGTGCCACCAACGCCAGGCTTGAAGGTGACCTTAAACTTCTGATTTTCCTGCCACTATCTGCCAAGTTTATGCAGGTAGAGCAGGGGATCCCCTGGCGGAATGGGAACATGCCTGTCTGCGTGCAGGGCAAACTACCAGCTGAGCCACACCCCCAGCCTGGATTTCCTTTTTGTTTGCTCTCACACACATCCTATTACATTTGTACAGAGGCAGAGTCCTCCCTCTTTCCTCTTCCCGCCTTGTTACTTTAGACTCCTCGCCCCCCCCCCCCCCGGCTCACATAAGCCTCCTGTGAGCTGACTCCTGTGACCCCCACCCCCCCACCCAGGGTTTTCCTCTGCCACTGGCTGCACCCAAATCGGGACTTGTTTCAAACTAGACCACTGGCTCTGGCTCGGTGGCAAGATCGCGTGCAGCAGAGCAGTGGCCGCTGGGAGGCCCAGAGGACTAGAAGGGCATGCTGGCAAAGAAGCTGCAGGCAGCCCATCACCATGGCAAACCCGAGCTGCGGGAGGAGACGCCGCTGGGCTGCCTCTTGTTAAGAGTTGACAAACCCCGAGCAACAGCATCTCTGAGCACAAAGCAGCGAACTAAGAAGACATTCCAACATAGATATTCCTTACAATAAATCAGAGGGCTGTAGAAGGGGGAAATAAAGGACACCATGGGTGACAAACTACAAAACAAGTTCAAATGGAGACACGGCAAGCCTAGGGGGGAAAGGGAGCGACTAAACAGAACAGCTTCATGACCGACACAGGCGCTGTCTTTGGACACACCAAGGAGGAGGCAGATGTGGCGGGAAGTCAGAGAGGTACCAGGAAAGAAGGGAGAGGAAAAAGAACACAGGAAACATGAGAGCTCTCAGCGGCGAAAGGCTAGATCCCGGTTGCTAATTGAAACTACCCCAAATAAAAACAAAATTTGAAAACACCCAAAATCAACCTCTCCTCCTCCTCCCTCCCTTCTTCCCTCTCCCCCTCCTACCCCTTTTAGCAGTGCTGGACCTTGAATCTATAACCCTGAAGATGCTGGGCAAGCCCCCTCTTACTGAGAAGCACTGCCAGCCCCACACACGCTGTTTTCAAAGAGTCTGCCTCGTAATTTAGATGTGTTCTAGCAGTGTTTTTGAGTTTTTTTTTTTAATCTCTACCATGAAAAAGGCTTTCTTGGACCACAAAACAATAAACCCAGGGAGGTGGGGGGATGCCAGGGAGATGGTTCAGAGGTTGAGTGCACTGACTGTTCTTCCAGAGAACCTGGTTTGATTCCCAGCACCTACATAGTGCAGCTCACAACCACCTGTAACCCCAGCCCTGGGGATCTGATGGCTCTTCTGTGCTCCACATGATGCACAGACAAACAAGCAGCAAAAACAGCAATACATGCAAAATAAAAGGTTAAAAAAAAAGTTAGCACAACATTCCAACATGCACTGTGCAATAAAACATTCTATGTGTTGAAGGTAAAAAGTGAAATTTGCCAAGACCAAAAGAAAAGATGCCCCCTCTTGCAAGAGAAAGATCAGGCTGGTGACAGATTTCTCAGCAAAGGAGACAGCAATGGAATACAACTTTCTTTTCCATGGTGTGTCTCAGACAAGTGTATAACAGTGTTCTGTATTCTCATCTAACACAGCTGGGCTGAGTTCAGCCAGCATGGCCATCCTGAGTGGACGAGGAGAGGTCAGGATGGCCACGGACCGGTGAAGGACTGGAGAAGCCTCACTGCTGCTATCTTCACCCCTGACTTCATAAAGGACGAAGGCCATTAGTCCTAGCCTTCCCCACATTTCCTAGTACACCTGGCTACTGTAGGGTTTCATGGTGACAGTAAGACTTTGTAGCAGCCAGGCTGTGGTGGTGTACGCCTTTAATCCCAGCACTCGGGAGGCAGAGGCAGGTGGATCTCTGTGAGTTCCAGACCAGCCTGGTCTACAAGAGCGAGTTCCAGGACAGTCAGGACTACATAGAGAAACCCTGTCTCAAACCACCACCCCCCCAAAAAAACTAAGAAAAATATAAGGACCTGTGAGACGGCTCAGTGGGTAAGCGGGCTTGCTGCCAAGACTGGTGATCTGAGTCCAATCCCCAGAACCCATGTAGCAGAAAGAGAACCAACTCTCCAGCGAGTTGTCCTTTGACCTCCACTCACATGCTGTGGCAATGTGCCTGACTCCCTCACCCCACAGCACGTAAGTAAATGAAAACAGAAGTGTGATCCAGTCTGTAACTGGCTAAGATATCCAAGTGTCAAGAATATAGAAAAATGTCTTAGTCATGCCAGAGCTAAAGTTTACTCGAAGCCTCTTAGCATTCTTCTAGAAAAACAACTGTCACTCCATCAGGTGATGGGGGAACCTGAGCGGGACAGGCGAGTGCTGGCATGGAAGACTGTCAAATGGCACCGCTTAGATAAGGTTACCCACCAGCGCAGGAAGAAGACATGTCCGTGTTTGCTTTCTGTTGCTGTGGCAAACATCATGACCAAAGGCAACTTGGTGGAGTAGAGGGTTAATTTTATTTCACAGTTCCAGGTCACAGTGATCCCTGAGGGAAGGCAGGGTAGGAACTGTCTCGAAGAAACCATGGAGGGATGCTGCTCCTGGCTCCATCACAGACTCAAACTCAGCTACATTTCTTAAACAGCCCAGGCACACGGGCCTAGGGAATGATGCCACTCACAGTAGGCCGGTCTTGTCCACATCAACCATCAATCAAGACAGTCTCTCTCAGACATGCCTGATCCGATCTGGGCAGTCCTTCAGTTGGGAGTCCTTCAAATGACTCTGGGCTGTGTCAGATTAACAGCTGAAGCCAACCAGGACAGGAGAAGACAGAAGAGCTCTAAAAGGAGAAAAGAGTACAAAGATATCACTGCTGTACATGCAATTTTGAGGAGCCAAAAATACTTAAAATTCGGCCGGGCAGTGGTGGCACACACCCTTAATCCCAGCACTCGGTAGGCAGAGGCAGGTGGATCTCTGTTGAGTTCCAGACCAGCCTGATCTACAAGAGCTAGTTCCAGGACAGCCTCCAAAGCTACAGAGAAACCCTGTCTCAACTCCCCCTCCAAAATACTTAAATTTAGCTGGGTGTTGGTGGCTCTCAACTTTAATCCCAGCATAGGCAGGCAGACTACTGTGAGTTTGAGGCCAATTTGGTTTACAGAGCCAGTTTCAAGACATCCAAGGCTGCACAGAGAAGCCCTGTCTCAAAAAAAAAATTGCACAACAAATACTTGAAGCTTAAATAATGAAAAAGGCTAACTGACAATAAAACTACTTTGTAATATCAAGGGCAGTATTAAAAACTATAATCAGTATAATAAAAGTCTTTTAAAAAGCAATAAAAAACCCCACAAGTCTTGGCACAGAGGGATGGGTCAGTGGGTAAAGGCGTTTGCTGCCAGGCTCTATTATCCGATTCCATCCCTGGGTCCCACAAGATAGAAGGGGAGTACTGACCCCCACACGTTGTCCTATGACCTCACACAGGTGCCCTGGCACATGAATACCCTCACACATGCACAAAAGGAAACAGTGCAACAGGAAAAAGGGGGTCTAGGACACTTTATTAAATGTAGAAATCACTTAAAGGGGGAGCTGTGAAGCACTCTGCTGTCCGAGGCCAGCATCCAGGTTTTCCTTTCTCTTTCTCCTGTGTATCTCTTCCCTTTCCCACATCCCTCTGTCCACCCCCCCAAACGGGCGTGGCCAATATCTCAGATACAGGAGCTCTCCCCTACAAGTCCCCTTTTAGCCTAAATAAAAGATTTAGACTTGATCCAAAACTCAAACATATACAGCATATATACATAGATGATAAGCAAATTATAATCAATTTATATCCTAAGTATATCTATTCCATCTAGACCCTAAACTTATCTGAAAGAGATGCCCAAGTCTGAACACCTCCTTCCAATCCCGATCCTAAATAATTGAAAACTAACCCTATCAGATGTAAACTATCCTGCAATATCAACAGTAGGGAAAGGGGGGCGCAGTATTCTCAAAATTACTTCCTGCTGAAATGGGATGATGACAACCTCATGGGATCCTGTAGGAAAAAAATGTTAGTCTAACGAAGTCTCATTTGCATTCAGTCTCTGTTGGCGGGAGATGCTTGATTGAAGTTCTTGACTGAAGTTCCTTTTTTTGTTTTTGTTTTTTGAGGCAGGGTTTCTCTGTGGCTTTGGAGGCTGTCCTGGAACTAGCTCTTGTAGACCAGGCTGGTCTCGAACTCACAGAGATCCACCTGTCACTGCCTCCCGAGTGCTGGGATTAAAGGCATGTGCCACCACCCCTCGGCTGAGTGAAGTTCTACGGTTGATTGAAGCTCTTGTCTGAGGCTCTGGCCAGATTGTAGAAGGTGCACCATATCAGTTCATTGGTCTGGAGTTGTGTAACTCCCAAATTGGTTTCAGAATGGTACTTGTCAGGTGGAGTACCATTTTCTTTCTGAAGTTTTTGAAGATTGCTGTTGGAAAATTCCTTGTTCTCTGTGGAAAACTCAAACATTAATGTTAACAGAGAAATTTTTAACTTTTATATGTATGCATACCAGGAAAGGCAACAATAAGGAAGATGGTAAATGTGAGGGAAAATAGACTTTCAGAGAAAGAGCAGAGCATAAACAGACGACAGTCCACAGATTTTGTTTTCTTCTGTCTTACATCAGTGGCTCCTTGATATAATACAGAAATTCTGAATTTTATTTTAACAACATGCTTGAATTTAGAGGAGGAGAGCCAAATCCAGCTCCAAGCCAGCTTCAGTTTAAGTGAAGCTGGGACTAAAAGAATATTAGGAAGTAAGGAGGAATAGATATTATAAGAACAAAGTTGAGAGAGTCAGACACTGATGCCAAACATTAGATTCGTGTTTGTTTGATGGCCCTTTGGGTGGCTATCCTCTCTTCTTCAGGTTTCCATACATTCAGCATTTTTTGCTGTTTGGAGATGGGTTTTCCTGTGAAGACAAAAACAAAACACTTCTCTTTCCCTTTATGAGGTCTCCTTACATATAGTAGAATATGACTTTGTGGGGGAGCTGTCATCTTTCCTCTTCCCGAGGTTTCTTCTGTTTGGATCAAATCTTCATCAATTTTGATGGAATCCAAAGCTTCTCTTCTCCAGCGGAAACAAAGGCGGAAACCCCTTCCCCCATGTAACACATATCCTGGTTTCCAAGCTGAGGTCATAACGTCCTTGAAATACACTGGTTGATTTACTTCAGAAGTTTTTTTCTGTAGTCCAGTGCCTTTCTGCAGCTGTTTGTCCTTTATCATTAGCATAAGAAAGTTCAATGAATGAATACATGTAAAAGTGCAAATCTCCTCAATGTTCAAAGAAAAGGTAACATCACATAACAAGTAACAAATGGTAATTGTAGCTCTGTGCACACAGTCAACAGAGATTCTGGTCTACAGAGTGAGTTCCAGGACAGCCAGGGCTACATAGTGAGATCCTGTCTCAGAACAGAACAGAACAACAAACTTAACTGGAGACACGGTTTGGTTGCTGCGAGACACTTGATTACACTGTGAAACTTTGAGACCGTTTATAAAATTAACATTGGATCAAACAGGAGTTAGCCATCGAGAGGATGGAGGAGCCAGGAACATGTACAGAGAGACACACAGGAAGGAGTAGGGAGGGATTTGGAGATTATCTGCCTTTTTTGGTTTAAGACAAGTGGAGTGATGCTTCTCCTTTGGTCTCTGGCCAAAAAGCAAGGTCAGTTGGTTGCCTCTTGGTACTTCTGATCTCTAGCAGGTTTTCACTCCAACATCTGACTCTCTAGTCTTTGTTAGTAAATAGAACTATAGAGACTTAGAACCTACATTTGGTGACTGGGGCTGAGCCAGTGCCACCACTGGTGGGAATGGAAATCCTGCTAGACAGAGGTCTGAGCATCTGGGTGCTGACTGTGGGGCCATGGGATGCAGATGGTAATTAAAATATCAGCAGATTCAGGTGTGGCTGCTAAACTGACAGAAAACAACACTTGGTAGTTAAGAACACTTGTTACTTTTCCAGAGGACCCAGGTTTGATTCCTAGCAACCAAATGGCAGCTAAGAATGGTCTGTAACTCCAGTCCAGAGGATTTGTCGCCCTCTTCTGGCTTCTGCATGCACTGCACTACAAATAAATAAATCTTTGTTTGGCTTTTGGAAATAGGGTTTCTCTGTGGCTTTGAAGGCTGTCCTGGAACTAGCTCTTGTAGACCAGGCTGGTCTCCAACTCACAGAGATCCGCCTGCCTCTGCCTCCCGAGTGCTGGGATTAAAGACGTGCGCCACCACCGCCTGGCATAAATAAATCTTTAAATAAAAAAAATCCATAACCCTCCAAATGCGATTAACAAAGAAATCTATGATATAAAGCAATAAATGAAAATATAGCTTGTAATGTGGAGCACTGTTAAAAATGAAAGAATAAAGTTAAATGAGTCAGGTGTGTGTTGGTTTGGATGTAACTGTCCCTCATGATCTTATAGGGAGGGGCACTATTAGGTGAGGCCTTGTTGGAGGAAGTGTGCCACTGTGGGGTTGGGCTTTGAGGGTTCCTTCGCTCAGGATACTTACTGTCCAGTGTCTCAGTCAATCTCCTGTTGCCTGCAAGATGTAGGACTCTCGGCTACTCCCCCAGCACCGTGTCTGCCTGCCAGCTGCCATGTACCTGCCATGATGGTAATGGACTGAACCTCTGAAACTGTAAGTCAGCCACAATTAAAAGTTTCCTTTATGAGAGTTGCTGTGGTCATGGTGTCTCTTCACAGCATTGGAAACCTTAACTAAAAGAGGTGCCACATTTTTAAACATTCCAGCACTGTGGAGGCAGAGGCAGGTGAATCTCTGAGTTCAAGGCCAGCCTGGTCTACAGAGTGAGTTCTAGGACAGCTAAGACTACACAGACAAACCCTATCTCAGAAAAAAAAGCAAAACAAAAAAGACAGAGAGAGAGAGAGAGAGAGAGAGAGAGAGAGAGAGAGACTATTCACTGTGTGCAAAAGGACCATGCTTCATGCCTTCTCTCTGGCATATCTGAATTCCAGCCAGCATTAGTCTCCAAATAGGGACCATTTATTTAGTGAAATGTGGGTTCCTTGAAAGCAAACACCAGGATTGCATGACAGCTGATCTGATAGCCAAGATGGCCATCAAGACAGCAATGGGTGACTGGAGGGATGGCCCAGTGGTTAAGAGAGCTTGGTGCCCTTGCAGCAGACCTGAGTTCAGGTCCCAGCACGCACAGTGAATGACTCACAACACCTGTGAGCCTATCTCTGGGCCCTCTTCCCGCATGTGCACACACATAAATAAGAATCCTGAGAGACCAGTGGGAGTTCTCTTTTAGCTAGGTCAAATTCTGGATGCCGGATAGGTTGCCAAATGCAATTGTGAGACTAATGGTTCAGTGTAGGGGTTTGGATCTTCCAGTAATGCCAGAGCAACATTTTGATGTGTGGGCATTTTGGACCCTCAGAATTATGTCATATAACCTGGTGTGGGACAGAAGCACGTAGCCTAGTTGACAGTGTCCTCTAATGTGTAGAAAGTCCTGGGTTTGAGCCTCACATCACATATAGCCAGGCATGGTGGTGCTAACCTCTGACCCCAGCACGTGGAGACAGAGGCAGGAGGATCAGGAGTTCAAGGTTATTCTTGGCTGTGTTTTAAACAGGTGGCCAGCCTGGGTTAATACGAGAAGCTTCGTGTTCAGCACCGCTCCCCTCCCCAGCTCTCTCTCTCTCTCTCTCTCTGTCTCTCTCTTGTCTCTCTGTCTCTCTGTCTCTCTCTCTCTCACACACACACAATCACAAAACAGAAGATTAGACTAATTTCTGGTATATGGATAATTGTTTTTTCCAATATGGAAAAGTAACAAATGCTCTCCCTAATATGGTGGATCTATCATTTGGGGCTCCTTGAGTAAGTTTCTACCATTCATTTAAAAAAATGCCAAGTTGGGGCTGGAGAAATTGTTCAGCTGCTAACAGAGCTTAACTGCTCTTTCAGAAGACCTGAGCTCAGTTCCCAGCACCCATGGGGGCAGTGCAGAAGCACCTTTAGTCCCACACAGACACACCCATGGACACACCCACACAGACACACCCATGGGCACACCCACACAGACACACCCACAGACACACCCACACACGGACACACACTAATAATAATTAATAATAATAATAATAAATCATGGGACTGGAGACATGACTCAGCAGTTGAGAGCACCTGTTGCTCTTACAGAGGACTCAAGTTCAGCTCCGACCACCCACAAGGTAGCTCACAACCATTCCTAACTGCAGTTCCAGGAATCTGACCCCTTCCTGCCAGAGCACTGGCCATACACATACATACACGCAGGCCAACAACAAAATAAAATAAATAATTACGTAAGAAAGAGAAGTCACAGAGGGACGGAGAGGTTAAGGTCATCTAGGGTTTACATAAGGAGAGAAAACAGGGCAGAGGTGGGCAGACGCGGGCAGTGCAGGCCTGTGCTCGAAACCACTCTGGAGGCTGAGAAACCGATCCCGGAGGAGTCTAACGCTGTCACTTTCATAAGGGGAAACGGAGGCTCAGACAATTGAAATGACCCAGGTTCCTGGGTGCCACCTTCCCTCCTCGCTGCCCTTGCCGAGTGCCAACCACGGCCCTGAGATGCGCCTATGTGCCTCGCTTTCCCAGGCTTGCTGGGAGCCGTGTTCCTCTCACTTGCTTCGGTTGTGTAATAAGGAATGTGGGATCTCTCTCTCTCTCTCTCTCTCTCTCTCTCTCTCTCTCTCTCTCTCTCTCTCTCTCTCTCTCTCTCTCTCTCTCTCTCTGTGTGTGTGTGTGTGTGTGTGTATGCGTGTGTGTAAAGAGCACAGACACGTATGTTCTGGACGGATCTTTAAATGGTAGGGAGGACTGTTGCAGGTAACCCTCGAAGCGGAAGATGAAGGAGGTGAACCCGTCCAGACGCGGGGTCCAGCTCTTTCCCAGCTGCTGCTGCTCTATGGCTCCTCCTCAGCTTGGAAATAGCTGTCAGTGAGTTCTGGGGACTTGGGGGACCGCTGTCAGTTCAGACTTCAGCTTTTTTTCTGCCAGTTAATTCGTCCATCAACAAAGATGCGCAGGAGCTGGAGGACCCGGGTATCCAGGCTATGGGGTCCGGGGTCGGGGGAGGCGACCCACTCACTCCGGGGACTCAGAGGAGCATGCATCCCGCGGGGTGGGCTCCATAGTTTGGAGCAGGCATCAAGCAGGACGGTTACAGGTCGTCCCGAGTCCGCAGCCAAGTGGGCCGCAGTCCAATCCCACCAGTTCGGAGCGCGCGCCCCGCCTGGCCCTAGAGTCGGTGCAGCACGCGCGCGGTCTCCCGAGGGCGCGGGCTAGGGGCGGAGCCTCGGTGTTGTTGTTCCTCGTCGGCCCCGCCCCCGAGGGGGGCGCGGACCACGCGGCCGGAGGGCCCGCCTCCCCTCCCCCTCCCCGCCCAAGTCGCCCGCCTCTTTGTATCCAACATCCGGGTTTCCCCGCTGGCTCGGCTCCGTGGCCACCGCTCAGGAGCCATTTTGGACTCGGTTCAGCTCCCCTCCCCCACCCCACCCCCCGTTCATGGCCCCTCCGGACTCGGCCCCTGCGCCCGGGGCCCGGGCCCAGCCCCGTTGCGCCATGCCCGCATCGGGCGCGCCCTGGCCCGCGCCCCGCCGCCGCCCCCCGGCCCCCGCGTCGCCCCATAGCCCGGGCCGCACTGCGCGCCGCCCGCAGCGGCCCTGAGCCCCTGTCCCCGCACGCTGCTGGGACCCGAAGCGCAGAAGCGAGCGCGCCTGGAAGCGAGACCCAGAGAAGGAGCGGGAAGCAGAGCGCAGCCGCCGCCGGGCCCTGCGCGCCCCGGGAGCGCAGCGCGGCCCTGCCCGCGGGCTCCGGGTGTCCGCGGGGCGGCGCCGCGGAACATGACGGCGCCCTGGGCGGCCCTCGCCCTTCTCTGGGGATCGCTGTGCGCCGGTAAGGACCCGGCGCGGCGTGGGGGTGCGGGGACCCCGGGCGCGCGGTGTTTACCAACAAAGGGCGGCCCCGCGGCCTCGGCGCCGCGCCACCTGCCTGGGACCGGGGTTGCGCGGAGCGCTTTGCTCGCGATCGTCAAGGCGAGCTCGCCCGTGCGGTTCTTCTGCGCGATTCTGGCTCGCGGAGGCGCTCGGTGATGGGGGGGAACCTGGAGCGTCAGGGCCGGGGTCCAGGTTCCTCGGGCTCGCGGACCCCGGGAACCGAGCGAGGAAAACCCGAGCGTAGGGAAGGCGCCCGGGCTGGGCGGGCATCTAATCGGGGGGTGGCTGGCATGGGGCTACGCGCCCCTGAGAGCCATAGGTGTCGCAAAGCAAAGCGGAGGGCTTTCCACACCTCGTTCGGAGCCCTCTGACCTCGGTCCCGCCACTCTGCGTCGCGATCCTCGCGCGAGTGGCTCCCACCAGCGCCTGCTTTCCTTGCAGAGGGCTTCAGATGCGCCCTCGTGGGACCGCTTTTGTTTTGGGATACTGCGAGTGGAGAGGAGGTTGAGGAGGCGAACCAACAGGTCTCAGACCGCTCCGGCCTGCACGTGGCGGGCATGAGTGACCCGCGCTCAGCCCGCAGGCGGCTGCGGGATGTGTGTAACTGGTGCGCGTCTGCTTGGGGACTGGGACGTGTGGGTGTGTACGCGCGAAGTTGTGCTGGGAAAGCGCTTTCGTCCCTAAAGCTCAGGCGCGGATTTCTCCGTCTCAGTGGTGCTGAAGTTGATGGGAGCTCCGGGACGGGCTTGGGGCAGTCCTGGGAAACGTGAACAGTCGGGCATTGAGACTCCAGAGAAAAGATCGTGGCGATTGGGACGGCTGGTGCCCGGGGCTCTGGGTCCTGCGCGTCTTTGTTCCCAACCCCCATTACACATGCAGCTCGGGTACCCTGCCGCCCGAGGTGGCAGCAGCGCAGAGTCTGGGAAACCCATGAGGGGCGGGGCCCGGAGTGCAGGGGAGGGGCTGGGATCCCCATGCTGCTGCGGGGGTGGGTATCCCAGATGGCCATTGCACCCCCCACTGGGATCCCCACCTTCAATCTGCTCCCTTCTATTGCAAGGTAGCGAGGCTTAGCAATCAATTCCGACTCTGAGAGTTTTTGCACAAATCTGGGTGCGGTGGAGCGTGAGTGCACGAGGCGGAGGGCAGAGACCGCTTCCTTGCTATCTGAGCGCGCTGTTGGGAAGCGGTTTCAGTGGTCAGGGCGAAGCGCTGCCCCGGTTGAACATTGTGTTTCTTTCTGCCATCCACTGAAGTGTTGCTCGAGACGTTTCCCCCAAGAATGAGGACTTGGAAGTGATGGGAAAGTTGACCCGCTATGGAGTGGGCTGATCCAAGGGTTCCCCCTAACTACCCCTTTGCCGCCTGGATTTCTACTCCTGATCTGCCTGGTCCCTTTCAAGTCCAGGCCTGTTGAAAGAATTCCCTCAGCACGGTACGCCTCGGACTCGGGGTCTGGACGTCACGGCCCCAGTTTTTCCCAGTTCGGCTTCACCGGTTATGTCCCATCTCGGGACAGGGTGAGGGTGGTTCTCTGGTGCTGTGTCTACTTCCTCTTTGCACTGTTTGGGGAGTGCGTGGCCGGACACCTTGACAGTCATCTGTTCTGACTCAGAACCTGTGCCCTCAGGGAGGTGGAGTCACCTGTTGTTCTATTGTCACAGTTGGAGGTGGCCTCTGCTCTGTCTTTTGAGGAAGTAGAGATTTCCCCGAGGTCCTGGTTGGGACAGAGCTGGCCCTTCTGTGCCTCTGGCTTCAAAATGGTCCTTTCTTCATGTTCCTGGCTCCGTCTTCAGAATTAACTCAACCCTGTGGTAAAAAGAAGAGATCTATACTAGTGCTGCCAACAGGAACATAGGAACATGGACAGATATATTTAACTTGAAAATTCCCAGTAGTCATGTTAGTAAATGGAAAGAAAAATAGTTGTGTCTTAGTGTGTTCTGGCTGCCTTAGTGTCGCAGGGCTGTGTGAGTCAAGTAGCAGCTTTTGGGCTAGAGAGGTGGCCGGGTGGTAAGAGTGCTCGCTGCTCCTGCAGAGGACCTAGGTTCTAGTCCTGACACCCACATGCCGACTCAAGATCTTCTGGAACCCCACTTCCCAGAGGGTCCCATGCCCTCTGGTCTCAAAGAGCACCAGGCATACTCATGGTGCACAAACATAACTGCAGCCATAACTCATAAAGATAGCCATATATGTGTGTGTTTATATATTTAAAAATTATCAGTGCCTATTTTCACTTGGTTCTAGAAGCCAGACCAGAGTGCTGGGATGGTCAGGTCTGCCCTAAGAGAGCAAATCCTACAGTGAGGATCCCACCTCATGGTTTAATCCAACCTTCACCGCTTCCCAGAGGCCCCACTCCCAGAGACCATTGCACCCTTGGTGGTTACGGCTTTGCCATATGAGTTTGGGGGTAGAGACTTGCTCTCTTTGGTACTGGTGGCATTAAGTTAAGGTAACGATTGGTCATTCCAACATAATTCACTATTAAAACATGCCACTTCCAGCTTGGCGCAGTGAAAAGTTCTCTGTGGTCACATGTGGCATGTCGCTGCCAGATTGTACCGCACAGGCCGAGAAGGAGGGCGGCAGTGATGTTGCAGCCAGGGGCTACGTCTGGCCGGCCCCGTGTGTCCTAGGGCGGCCGGCATTTGCCTCCTGCATTGCAGAGAACGTCTGCACATTCTATTCTCTGACATCTGATTCTGAACTCGGGACTCAGAGTGGAGGGCTAAGAAGGGTCCTCATAGGTTGACCACTGCCTCAGAGGTGCCTCTTGTGCATTCCCCCGTGGGCGGAGGGCCATATGAGAGAGAGACCTTTAGTCTTCTGGCCCATTGTAGTGGGAGAGGCCAAGGACAGAGTCATGGAGGCCCCTCCCTAGAGATGGCGCCCCTGCCCTCCTCTCCTATCTGTGGTCGTTCCAGGCTGCCTGCCTGTCAGGTGGGGACAGCCTTTGGAGGGAGAAGGTACTCTCCTCAGCATTCATATGCTTTCCATGCAGATGCGACACTCTCCCAGACCCTGCAGCTGGGTGAAGACTTAAGACCTAGAGCCCTTGACTGTCCTATTTAGGCGGGCTTTTGTAGTCCTTCGTTGCTCTTCCTGGCACCCAGAGTCCTCCAAGCCTCTGCACCTGCCCTGGCAGTTGCCCAAGGCCCTTCTTCTGCAGCAAGCCCAGGGGAAAGCCCCCGCTGTCTCTTGTCATGCTGCCCTGAGAATCTAAGGAAACCCGAACTCCAGGAGATGTAAATCAGTGCCCACAGGGGCACTTTTACATGTTGTATGTGCGTACCGTTCTGCTGTTCTGGGCTCCCTAAAATCCTGACTGCCCTGAAGACAGCCCTCTCGAGGGACAGCCTGTCCATAGAAAGTTGTGTACGTTAGACTTATTTCTCTTGGTACCCTTGCTTATCCTGTTCTGGTCCGTGGACACGTCCTTGCCTTTACTTCCGCTATTCAGTGGCTCTGCCTAATACTCAGTTTCCATGGTTTCCTCTCCATTCAGGAAGCCGTCTATCTGGCTGAGTGTCTATTTTTCAGCCTCCCTACCTGGGAGGCCAGTAGTGCAGCTGGGATGGATCCACAGGGTGTCGGTGCTGCTCACAGATGCTAACCTGTGCGGCGGGCAGAGGAGAAGGCGAGTCTGGATCATTCAGGGCCGTTCACATCCACCCCCCCCACGCTCGTGCGTGCACGCCTGTGCATGTGGGTGCAGGCAAGGACAGAGATCACCGCTAAACACCTTTCAGCTACTCTCCACCATGTCTTTTAAAAGCATTTCATCCTGGTTTGTGGACGTGTGCCACAGCTCCGTGGGAATGTGGAGGCCAGAGGACAGCTTGTGGGAGCTGGCTCTCCACAGTGGGTCCTGGGAGTCTTACTCCAGTTGTTGGGCTTGGCAGAAGGCAGGCGTCCCTGCAGAGACACCTCACCGGTCCCCCGGAAGTCACCCTCAAAGCAGGGACTACCGATGCTTGCTACCCTGCCTGGCTATTTGAAGGTCCTTACGGCAAACACTTTACCAGGCAAGGCGACTCCCGGGCCCCCAGGAGGCAGTCTGCGATGACAGTCCTGGCTGCATGGGCCTCTCCAGAGCAGGGTTTTTTAAACCTTCCACACCGTTGGCGTTTGTATCTGGAGCCTCTCCTTTTGTGGGGAGGAGGTGGTGGTGAAGGGGCTAGCCTGTACACTGCCTCTCCTGGCCCATTCCAGTATCTGAGACGACTCCTGGCATCCGTAAGTGGTAGGGGCACAGTCACCCTTAGGTCGGTTGAGAACCAGTGGTCTAGTGCGTCTGGCTTTTTTTATTGGGGTAGACGGTTGTAGGAGATGGGGTAAGGGCTAGCCGGTGCCGCCCACTGCCTTTCTCCCTCTGGAGTCAGGATAGGGAGCTGGATTCTCTGTCGCAGGCGAGCCCTTCTCCGCTGAGCCTGGTTGAGTACGCCTTTGGTTCAGAATCAATGGTTCCAGCGGACCGGCTGCCACCGAGGAGAATCCTGGCGTCCTTGAGTTTTCCCAGAAGTGGTTCGGGTTTCAGGGAGGCGGCCCGTTGTGGGTGGCCGGGCAGCTTGCCCGCCCGCACCCGCCCACCTGCTCTGGCCTTTGCCTTGAGGCTGGCGCTCTTGCCTCTCCCCTCCCGCAAGCGCAGAATGTCAGGAAGCGCCTGTTGCTGGGGCTACGCCTGCCCGACACCCCCTCTCTGCTCACCTGGGAGCTGGGTGAACCCAGGCTATACCTGTCCACCGAGCCCAGGGGGTCGAAGCAGGATCCTGGCATGCCCTTCCCCCCCAGTGGGCCTGCCCTGTGGCGCTTGGAGCCCCAGCGGCTGTGGGCCTGGACCGGCCAGGCCCAGGACCCCAGGGCAGGGGGACAGCCCCGTCCCAAAGGTATGGGCTTGTCTCTTCCCACGGGCTTGGGAGGTGTGTGTGCTGGGCGAGCCTTGTCTCAGAACTGCGCGGTGGGCCTCCCCAGAGGCCGGTATGCTGGTGAGGACTGGGGGGGGCGTCACTTTCTGACCACACTCAGTGAGAGCTTACTGTTGGAGCGGCTTTCAGAAGGCAGCAGGTGGATGCAAAGCCTTCTCGCAAGCAAAGCCTTCTCGCAAGCACTTCAAGCCCTCCGCATCACCCCGAGAAGTGTGTGCTGAGGTGAGACTGTCGGCCCATCGCCCCATGATGGTGTGGTTGCTTTCCTAGAATTCTTGGGTCTGGCCGCTCATCCCAAGCCATCACCAGTGTTTTGCTCGGGTCAGACACCCTTATTCTCGGCTGCTTTTTTGCTCTCAGTGTGGACTGGGCTGACATGGGTCCTAGGCCCAGAGGTGGCTGCTGTTTGCAGGCCTCTGCTGGTGCTGCTTCCGAGACTAGTCGTGGCTTCTGGCCGTGGACAGGCCCACTCTTTCCATCTTGCTACGCACAACATACCTTTTCCAGATCCTCTTGGGGACTGACAGCTCAGCCCGGTGTTTTCGTTTGTTGACACGTGACTCCCAAGAGCTGGTGTTGGAGAGAAAGCCCGGTCCACTGGGCAGGCTTGTGTCCCCCTCCCCCGGGGGATGTCCCCTGGAGGGGCCTGGCCTGCTGGACAATGGGGCTTCTCCCTGGCTACTTTCTAGGCTGCAGCTGAGGTGTTTGTGAGGCAAAGCCGCACTCTTGTTTGTAAGTGTGTTCCTCGGCAAACTATTTCAGTCCTGCCTCTGAGAACCAAGCAGGCTAAAATTAGTTCCGGGCAGGAAAGGGAAGGCTTTGGAAACCCAAGCTCTGGGCTGGAGGTGGAGGAGACCGCCTCTCCATGGTGGTGGCCGGGTGTTTGGGAGGATGTGACCAGACCAGCTGTTGTCTGTCCATCTGAGTAGAGGGAGGGATGCTTGACTGCCCTCCAGACTTGAGCCAGTGAGAGAAAGCAGGAGGCTGCCTCGGGAGCTGACTGGAGTGTCCGTGCCAGGATGTTTCTTCTCCTGTTGTGCAGTGGTGCGCAGAGTCCCCAGGTATAGAGACAAGGCCGTCTGATGTCCTTTCTACCTCCAACCTGGCTGCTGCCTGTTGCCTGCCCATAGATGCGAAGGTTTTTCATGAGTTCTCCAGCCCTGGGCTGGCAACCAGGGCTTAGGAAACATTTCTTTTGTGTGTTTTTTTTGGGGGGGGGGCGATTCCCTTTTAGTGTAAACTTGAAGTGGGACTCAGTGGGAGCCTTGTCTGTGGACCAAGCCAGCAGGAGATCTGACGTCTGCACAGAACACATAGGTCAAGGTTCATCTGCCAAGTGGCTTAGAAGCTTCAGGGACATAGGCTTAGTTGAGAAAGGCGAGTGACCCCTGCTCAAAGGAGGGACTGGGCTTGCTTCCTCTCTGCTGAAAACCTTTGTACCCAAACCTTTTCCTCACCCCCTTGGTTAACACTTGGGAAGCAGAAGTCACGTGAGTCTTATGCAATGCCCCCTTTAACTTTTTATTAAGTTTATAGCCGTTCAAGTAACACATATGTTCAGTTGCAGAACTTTAGCTGTTAGTGGGTACAACCAGGGTCTCAGTTAGGTGTGGTAGTACCAGTCTATAATTCTGGGAGAGCCAGGAAGATGAGGGGTTGGGGCACCCTGTGCTGAGGGGACTCTGCCATAAAAACAGACTGGAAAACAAAAGCCTAGTGTCTCCTGAGTAAGCTCTCCCCCTTAAAAAGTCATTTGTTTTCATGCATGTGTGTGCATTCACGCATGCACGTGCCCTGTAAGTTTCCATGCACTGCGTGCATGCTTTGTGCATGGAAGCTAGAAGAAGACTTTAGGTCC